CATTCCTCCTTGTGTTAGCTGGCAATAATAAGTATTTTCTCTTAACAGTTTTCTGCTAGAATTCAACCTTTACAGCTGGTGGAATGTGGATCTTTCCGCTAGAGGTAACTGTAGTTGTTCATTACGGGCGTGTAACTGAATGTATGAGACATTATGAAAAGGAAAGACGGAGGTCTCTTTTATTTTTCTGTGGGTTTGTTGAGAAACTTGAGAAATAACTGGAGCTAAATTTCTTACACATTCAGCTCAGAGATCTCGGGGGAGACCCCCAATGGTGCCCTGTGATACGGAATACCCGGCCTTTGTCTCCGAACGCACCATCAAAGAAACAACAGGCAACATTGACTGTGAGGGCTGCATCAGGTACCGTGTCAGGCTAACAGTATAACAGCATATCAACAAGCGCTGCCTTTCTTATACAGGAGAGGTTAATAAGCACATAACAGTTTAATTCCACAGTCCGTCTCTGTTTGGGCCGCAGGTCCTTTGTCATACAGCAGATTCCCAGCAGCAACCTCTTCATGGTTGTTGTGGACAATAAGTGTGACTGCAGCAGTTCTCCTCCAGTAACCATGGACCCCAACGAGATAATGTATATCCTTTTTTTGGTGCAACGCAGATGTTTGATATGTGGAAGCAGACGCAGGAAGTACATTGCACACTATTTGAGTCACTGACTAATTATTTAGGTTTAATGTTAATAATTAATAATCTAGTTGCAATATTTAAGTGTTCCTTCAGCCTAAAACAGTTCTGAAATTGTGAACGTGTTCAGTTGATGTATTTACACCCTTGACACCTTTGAACACAATGAGTCACTGAAATGTGACAGACTGAAGTTTCAGAAGGACAGAAAGAAGCCTGACTCGTGTCATCCTTTCCACCCTGAGGTACGAAGATGTGGGTTTGTCTGCATGCAAGCAGTATTTATAAGTCATGCATCACGTGTGAAGCCAGTCGACCATCGAGGGGAATTCAAAACTAAGAAGTGATCTCGACAGCATAGTTTCAGCTAATTCCAACTTTTTACCATGTTCATTTTCAATTTGTTACCCTGAACAGATCCATATGTATCACAAATGTCCGTGTCTTCTGCAGGAAAATGCCATGGAGTGTGGTTCAGCAACACGCCTCTCCAGTCCTCTGACTGCAGCTTTGCTCCCTCTGATAGCAGCGACCATCAGCAGGTGACCTTTGGCAGCAGAGCTGGACATCAGTGAGGCCTAAATCAACCAGAAGATGCTTTAAACACACAACATGGCCGGTCAGAAATGAATTTGCTCACACCTCTCTGCAACAGGCAGCGCTCCACTGAGGAAAAATGTTTATATGTAGCACTGAGACGCGCATCCATTTATGCAGAAAACATTAGCAAAGACCACAGAAAAAGTAAACGCGATTTCTGGGTGTTCTCAGTGACTTTGCTCAGAGCATTGCAGATAATGCCACTGACAGTTTGCCATTATATGCTGAATGTGTGCTGAAATTATATAAGAGAAAGACATATACTGTGTCAACATTAAGAACAAGGTATTTCTTGTTAATGTACAAAATGAGTTCTACGTGCAAAAAGTCATAGTAAGATGTCATTATTATGAGGAAAAAGTCAAAAGAATGTAAGAATTCACTTTGTCGTGTGAAAAGAATGCAGTGTCTTTATTTTAGCAGTAAGCTGCTTAAAAGAGCTGACAGTGCCATCATAACTGTCATTATACATATATATTATTTTGTATGTTGATTATTTTTGGTGTCTGTAGGTGTCTGGTGGATCATATTTTTAAAAAGCTGAGAGACGATGGGAAATTATAACTTATTATTTATTCTCCCAATTCACTCATCAACACACAACATTTCAGACGAGCTAAAGATGCATGGAGAAGATCACAGAATGACTCATACATATAAGCAGCCATAACTTGTCAGAAAGGCAATACGCTGAACCTCATGTTTGAGAAAGCTGATGAATAAATGCAAAGAAATATTTTCCTTCCTTTATTTACCCAATTGTGTTATTTTCTTGTGTGTGTGCTGGTGTACGTGTGTTCGTGTGCATGTGTGTGTGTGTGTGTAGCGACGGGAGACATACTAAACACGTAAGTTGTTAATGCATGCAAACTTTTATGCATGTAGTCATACAATACAACCAAATACAAAATATTATTAATACTAAGGGGAAGAAGATGATATCCAAATTACAAACAGTCGTAAAATAAGATTTTTTTTCTCGCTACATATAAGTCAAACTAAAAATAATTAATTTGACGTTTTTCTAAAAGAAAAAGGCATTTTAATATTGCAATGCAGTTTGAAAGCAGGCTGCGATACAGCCTAACTAGTGGAAAATAAAAAACTGAAATGCAGATGTCTAATATTAGTCTGGAACGTAACAGTGTCCTTCCTAAGGTCTGTGTTCAGTGCAAGCACATTATTACACAGTTACTTTAGTAGCTGTGAGCTACATGTGAGCTAACTGTGATGCTGCATCTAATATGCAGCTAGACCCTGCAGAATAAATGGTATGTGTCAAACTAGAACAAATATCGACTTTAGCCTCCATTTATGACAAATATATTTAATACTGTCCATCATGTCAGACTAATATTGTCATTTTGAGACTGTTGCCGCCTTCTCCTTTCCTCCAAACCTGCCGCTATGAAATACACATATATAGTCAGTAGACATATAAGTCTGTCGCATTTATTAATCCTTACATTTATCCGAATGACAGTAAAAGTCTTCAGCCTTAAATTGGATTTAAGAATAAGAAGGTCACGATAGAGTTAAAAGAAGAATGTCTTGCAGCATTTGTGTTAGACCTGAGAGAGGGAGCGTATTTTTGTTCAGTTGTAGACTCCCTCACGCCACATATGGTTTATTTTCAATTTGAGATGCAGGTATTCCACGCGGTCTGTTTGCTCTGTGCAAGGTGAAGATTCTGCCATCATTGTTTTAGTAGCACTGAGCTACGTGATCGAAAAAAAAATGTTTCCTGTAAACTGCAAGTGCAAAAACCATCAAGCTGAAACACTCAAGCCAAGGACGTTTGCTGCTGAAGCTCCTTTCAACAACCTCCTCCTCAGAGATCTGTTGTATTGCTGGTTGATCCTCTGAGAGGTTTTCCCTCAAAGGACATTATTATATGTATATATTCTATTAATGTGTCTCAGACACAATTCAAACTTGCTCAGAGGGAGAGTCTGTGGTTTGTGCATATACACCCAACAGCTGAGAGTATTTGGCCTTGACGTGACATGAGCGTTGACTCGGGGGCTCGGACAGAAATATTGTTATTCTCAGCTGAAATAAACAGCCGAGCGCTGCATGACGTGTCTTCTGTACCGTCTAGGCCAACCACGCACGCTGTTACAGTCAATATTAATTTAAATAATTTCATATTTAGATTTAGGCTTTTCAAGTGTTCCCCTCAGGTCCCTACGCTCAGTTCTGCATTTCACAATACCTACCTACGAACCTCACTTGTCAAACCCATTGTGATTTGTAGCAGGAAGGGGAGGCCCCCACCCCACATGTGGGCTAATGAAGACCCCACGCCAGTATGCACTTCACCTCGCTGAACCCGACTCTTGCAGCACTCCTGCTAGTCATTTATCATTCCAACATGAGGCAAGCTAGGTTGATTATAGGCGGTTTCAGCATCGCTAATAGATGTTTATCCTACACTATTTACAGCTGTTTTAGCACTCTAACACGAAAATATAACCACAACACACAGTTATCCAGGCCTACCAACTCTCACGGTTTCGCCGTGTGACACACGCTTTTGCATGTTTTCACACGCACTCACGCCACACAACCAATTTCTCACGGCAAAAAAAAAAATCTGATTTTGGGCCGAAGCGCGTTCGTTCCTTTTCAAACTCCCCGACAATAGATGGCGCTAAGGAGCGCATCTGTAAACCCATTCGCTGCATAGACATCCTATTTACCCCAAAGAGTCCCGAAGTTAGCAACAGAAGAAGATTTTCAAACAGACACAACCGCGGGAGAAACTCAGGAGGAGCAAAGACTAAGGTATGTTAATGACATGTGGTTCAATTAAGTACTCACTCTCTTAAACTTTAAATCTTGAAAGAAATTATTTGTTGTGTTTGTGCGTGTGATTTTGAGTGGTGAATGTAAACTCAGCTGTCATAACAAGCAGCAGGAGAGCACCTTGTTAACCTCTTGGTATACTGCATGCTCAAAACACAAATTACTAACCAGCTTCTGATCTCCTTCTTAATACCTCATTTTTTGTTATTTTATTTATGTGTATTTATATTATGTGTATCCATTGTTTTGCTTTGAAAGGCTACTGTTTAAGCACTTTAAGCACTTTATTTGTTGCACTTTTTTGTTTGATAATGAAAAATATTTTTCCCTAACTAAACTTGTGTCATTTTTTGCTGAACATAAATCATTAAGTGCTCTTAAGAATACAATTATTAACAATATAGGTTAGGTTTCAGTTAAGAATTAGTTGAATACCATTGTAATCAAAATGTCAATCAACCTAAATTGGTCTAATCTTAAACACAGGTCTATTAATTAGGCTATATTGTGGTACATAGACAGTCATTGAGGCACAGCAATAGTTTTCTGGTTGAATGTTCAGCTCAAGTCTAGAAGGCCCAACAAGTCATGAGCAGATGAACATAAATCAGAATAAGTTCAGGCATACCACCCAAAAATCCACGAGAATGCATGAAATAACATCTACTTAAACCAAAATGTCCTGGGGGTGGACCATCAGCTATGTCTTTGCTTCACAGAATGTAACCAATGTTGTCCATCTCCAGTAGGCCGCCCCTATCAACGACTTTGGGCCCCACAAACCACCAGAATGCAGGGTACAACATGGGTACTACGCCAAATGAATTCCAATTTCCTGATATTTGAGCCACCAACGTGTGTGGCTGCGTGCGCGGCAAAATTTTGGTCACCCCCGACAAAATCTCACTCCAAGGTTTTTTGAAAAGTTGGCAGCTCTGGTTATCTTATTTTTTTAATTGTTTAATTCTATTGAGCAGGCATCGTGTTACAGGTCCTAAAGAAGCAAGCTTATGCTGTTTTATGACAGCATGCAGAAGAAAATCCTGACCCATCTTTGACTTGAATCTTTAAAGAGAAAGAAGAAGCTGTCTACAATGTAGTGCTAATCAACAGCCTCCAACTTCACAAAATGAAACCTTTGCACATATTCAACAATTGCAAAAAGTAAACGTCCATTCTCTGTAATTCAATATAAAAATTCAATAATCTTTTCTCCCTGTAAAACAAAATATCAAGTGTGCCACCCAGCTGAGACCTGTTGTTCATTAGTTACAATTGGCATTGCATTTTTGCAAAGAATATTATGTTTAAAAAATGTAAAATAAATGGATTAAAGAAGACTTTCCGCTCAAACAGTTTCTCTACAGTATAAAAGGCTAGTGCTTCAACTGTGGCTGCAGGTAGCTGTACATCGCTTCCTCCTGGGCTGATGCAGGCGGCTCGTCGGGGATAGTGGAGTAGAGATGGTATATGGGCTGGAGAAAAAAGAAACATGTTGTAAGGTTTTTATTTCATCTGTAGCTAAAAACCTGTATTGGATACATATTCAACTCATTCAACGTACATTCTCATTTGTAAATGTTTGCTCCTCCAGTTTCACAGAACCTGCAAATGTGACAGAACAGAAAGACCACATTCTAAATGTGTATAGAAATAATTCAGTGATGATGTCTGACTACGTGTGCATATTACCAGTGACATCAGCTTGTGACCTATACAGAAATAAAGGGGAACAAGCGTTAATACCGTGTGATTTTGTCCTCCATTAAACAAGAAGCACAGTCCATTGTAGGACACTAAGCATAATATCATTACAGATTATTTTTTACTTTCTCCACACTACCATTGGCCATGGTGAAGTTGAGGATAGTGGATGGATTCTCTCCACACATTCAACAACATAGTCTGCTGCAGCGACATGCAGTGAATAAGATAAACGTCTAAAATAATATCAAGTCATCCCTCAACTTTTTCTGAAAAATTATAAAAAATCTCACCTCTTATAAGAACATCTTTCTGAAAAACACAACAGAGAGAAAAGCATATTGTTACATAAGGCAGTTTGCTTGGAAGTCCAGCTCTCTCTGGAATACTTACAGGTGAGGAACTACTAACATCCAATGACATTAATGCAAATGTGGTAAACGATGCTGTTCTCTAAACAGAGTTATGTGCAAGTTGTGTTCAAAAGGGTCTTTAGTGCCTCTTTTGACCCTCTGCTCAAATTCTTTGTCAGTTCATCAAGCAGCAGGGAGCAAAGAATAACTCAATGATTTCTGACACATAAGTCAAGTTCTTACCCAATGTTCTTTTTCTACACAGAAGGCCCAGTCCCAGTAAGGAAATAGAGAAAAAACCTCCCAAACAAATCGCAATCACCATGAACATCCATCTCTGCATTTCTGTTTCGGAAACCACAATCACGTCAGTTTCAGTTTCACAACAAACACAGAAGCAAGAAGGAGTGTGAACATACTGAATGCCTACAAAAAGAGAACACAATCTAAAAAAGGAGAGGCAAAGTGTTGCTTCTCAACTGACAATTTAACTGTTAACGTTGCACACAAGCTTCATCATGAAATTCTGATATATAATCAGAAACAGGTCTTTACTGTCTAATTTCAGAGCATTACGTACTACTCAAACCAAGCAGAAACACATGATCACAGCCCACTTTAATTTCAACTCCTGGTTATAAAAAAGAGTTCAGTGGTAAGAATATTGAATAAATATTTGGAAAAAAACAATATAGAAATATATTTGTGTCACCAAATATTGAAATGTAAAAAAAAATGAAGAAATGTGAGTATTTGTGTCACCTGATGTTGGTTTGTCTGTTGTGAGGGGAGGAGAACTAAAACTACCAGAGTTTCTTGGTCCAAAGGTTTGATCTGCTGAAAGAAGAAACTTCATTTCAAAAACGTTTAATACCTTTATATTTGTTATCAATGTAATTTTTATTTACTTTTGATGAGGAAAACAAAAGTATATAATGTATTCATATTGTCTGTGTGCTCATGAATATTTGTCTAAAAGTTAAGATAAAAGAAAAAGATTTAACAAAACAGTAATAACACTCAAAGATAACACAATACAAATATGTGATTGATAAAATGGGACTTTATATATCTGTAATTTTGTTACCTGATGTTTGCTTTATAGTAGTTACAGGCCTGGAAGCACAAAGACCTGCTGAATAGAAATATTTTGTAACTTTTGGATTTGTGGTAATGTGGATTTTATTTCCACGTAGGTTCTACCTGTGGTCACAGCAGATGCCGTCTTAGTCTGCGTCGTGCTCGACTTGACAACATCTACAACAAAAGAGGATCAGCTTGGACCCGCCATCGTCATGTGTGAGCAACAGTGGGGGACAGTATTTATACAAACTTAAGTAGGAAGCAAGAGAAACAATTTGTGATTCTTTAATATCACGTACAATATATCTAGAATTGTGCGGAAGCACAAGACCTGCTGACAGTAAAATCTAGTGAAGAAATACATATGAAAACCTTAAAAATATGTATTTTATATAAAATGTGCTTCAACAATCATAAAAGTGTGTTGTGTCATTTGTTGAAGATTATCTTGATAAAAACATTCCGTGGGCTTTATGTAAAGGGAACCAGGGTCACACTAACTTTCAGAGGTTGGCCTAGAAGATGAGTCAAACCTGTAGCCCTCTATTCAACTGTCACTGTCCTCTAAACAGCTGTTCTGTCGGAAAATGTATTGTACTTGGCTAATTAACTCATTCTGACTCTGCTGTCATAGCATCACATACAAACAAATTACATGCAACAAAACACTCAAATGTGGAGGCATAATTCCTGATGTTTGTCTAAATTAATTATTCGCTTGTCCCTTTTTTCAGTCCCTTTAAAAACACCTGAAATACGACACAGCGTAACCTAGTTGTCTCTCGCTGTCACTACTGTGCATGATAAGCAGTCACTCACTTTGGATTGTGATGGATGATGTGACACTGTGTGCAGATGGATGATTCACGTCTCCAACCATTACAGTGTAATAACAATCCACTTTAACCTCAGCAGGTGCTCTCTGGTCTGACATCCTCAACAGTTCAGTTCCTGTCAGTGTCTGCACACAAGTGAAGCCTTTGGCATGTTTTGCTCCGATAATGGTGAAATAACACTGGTGGACAGTAGGATATGATGGAGCTCGACAGTCCAATGTGACTGTTTCCGTCTCTGAGATCACCGCTGAATTCATTATGAGTTGAGGACGAGCTGGAAATACAGAGGTAAACCCTTTAAAATAGTAGATACTGAATAACTCCATTAATTAGGTCAATTCCTGTTGTAAAATGGTGATAGATTAAATGGAAGATGAAAGATCAGAGACTGACCTTGTGTTTTAGTATTGGCACAGGAATCTGTCGGAAATACAAAATGTTCAAACAACAAACATAATAATTCATTAATACCTTCAGAAATGGAGAAGATTAAAACTCCACCCTAAGTGAAATTATGTGAAACACAAGTTGGAGTTGAGATCAAGACACTTTTCGACCAAAGGAGTAAATTAGTTTAGAGTCTGCACTGCAGTTATACAATAAGTTCACAAAAAAACAGTAAGTAGGAAAAAACAGAGAACATAAAATCACCAACTACAAGGAAAGATCATACATACGTAGTATAGCATGATGGAACTGTGTGGAATTATATATTAATGTCATGTTTGCAAGTGAGAATCTTCCCTACAGTTTGTAATTGTACAACTTAAATAGTGTAGAATCTAAAGGAGGTTTGACTTACACATGAGGGTGACAAACAGCAGGCGTCCAGCCATGATGAAGAACAATCCTATAAGACCGACTCCAAAGAAGATGCTTGTCTAAGTGAACTTTGATGTACTCACGTATCATTTTGCAGAACTGCTTCTCAGAATACCACAGATAGCATTTCCGGTGAATCACACAACCAAACCACAGAAACATACATCTATTAGAGCCTGCGATGTTTTTACATCCGTTTGGCTACAGCATTGAGCCTGAATACTTTATAAGTGAATGTGAGAGTTTGTTCCTCATTTGGTCACAAATTGCTTGCACCTATTCACACACTCAGCGTGCTCATGGTCGGCCCTCAGATCACATGCTGTTATTCCATTTTTGTCCTGACTGTCTGTATTTGGGGAGTTCATGGCCGAGGTTTCGTAGTCATTCATCATTCCGACATGAGGCAAGGTAGGATGATTATAGGCGGTATTCAGCATTGCTAATAGATACCAGTTAATTCTCGCTAGCAAGTACACGATTTCCAGCTGGGAAGCGGCCCCCCAGAAAAAGAAAATATAACCAGAACACACGGTCATCTTATTTTTGTATTTGTTTAATTGAGCAGGCATTGTGTTACAAGTACTAAAGAAGCAAGCTTATACTATTTTGACTTTGAAGAGAAAGAAGTTGTCTACAATGTGGTGCTAATCAACAGCCTCCAACTTCACAAAATAATAATGGTGACGATTGCAACTTTTGCAGCTTAACTGCAAAACATAAGAAACATCAGTTGTTTGTATTTCTATGTCAAAATTCTAAAATCTTTTCTCCCTGTAAAACAAAATATGAAGTGTGCTAACATTATCTTAAAGCCAGCTGAGACCTGTCGTTTGTTACAGTTACAATTTGCATTGCAATTTCACAAACAATATTATGTTTAAAAAATGTAAAAGAAACTGATTTAAAAAAAAATGTTTTGACTGTCCGCCCAACCGTTCCTCTACACAGTATAAAATGCTTGTGTTTCAATGTGGCTTCAGGTTGCTTTACACTGCGTCCTGTTTGGCTGATGCAGGTGGCTCGTTGGGGATATTGGCGTATATTTGGAACATGGCGTGCTGGAGAAAAAAGAAACATGTTGTAAGGTTTTTATTTCATCTGTAGCTAAAAACCTGTATTGGATACATATTTAATTCATTCAACGTACGTTCTCATGTGTAAGTGTTTGCTCCTCCAGTTTCACAGAACCTGCAAATGTGACACAACGGCACACAAAGATGATGCTTTTTGTCAAGTTGGTTTTTTGTAAAAAGCCAACAATACGCTCCACCTGATCTTTATAAGAATCTGTTGTGCGCCCCTAAATTTAATATAATTTGAAACAAGCCAGGAAGGTATTTTGGAAATAAAAGCTCCAATCAATAGGAGGCAAGAGGAATTGAGAGGATTTCATAAATAAATGAAAAAAGTAATCCATCTTGACAAATTATATATTTATTACCAATTCTCCATGTTCAAGATATCTCATATTAGCGACGGTGGCGCATGAAGTAGACAGGGTGTGCCGGGAACCGCAAGGCGGTTCGAACCCTGGCTGCTCCATGTCCCAATGTAGAAGTGTTCCTAAGCAAGACACCCGGGCGCCTTTACGGCTGCACACTACTCCCAATGTCCGGGATGGGTTAAAAATATAGAAGAACATGGGTTAAAAATGCAATGTAAGTCGCTTTGGATAAAAGAGTCAGCTAAATGACATGTAATGTAATATTATGACAACTGCAACATCAAGTAAAACACACCCGAATACCCTGAAAGACCAAAATATAAATATGCATATAAATAATAGTGATGATGTCTGACTACGTGTGCATATTACCAGTGACATCAGCTTGTGACCTATACAGAAATAAAGGGGAACAAGCGTTAATACCGACAGAGTTTGTCCTCCATTAGACAAGAGGCACAGTGCATTGTAGGACATTAAGGTGTCACGAACGGGTAGGTAGAGGCAGCACTCAAACGCCGAGTTTTGAAAACAAAAGGTAATTTTAAATAATCCGGAATCACCAGGGGGGGGGGGGGGGAAAGGCAGACACGGACTAGGAACTCACAGGCAAGACAAGGTTGAACATTCAATGGCGCGACAGGGGACAGGAGACACACATGGCTTAAATACACTGGGAAGGTGCAGGTGATTGGACACTGGTGGAAACAATCATGGACAAGGCAGACAATCACAGGGGATGACAGGACAAGGCAGGAAGGTAAATTAACCCAGGGACACTAGAGGCATGAAACTACAAAATAAAACGAGACGTAAAGCCTAACCGTGACATAAGCATAATATCAATAAAGTTTATTTTTCTTTCTCCAAACTCCTATGAGCCCATTTGCCATGTTGAAGTTGAGGATAGTGGATGGACTCTCTCTGCACATTCAACAACTGAGTCCTGCTGCAGCGACTTGCAGTGAATAAGATGAACGTATAATATAATACCAACTTTCAAAAAATCTCACCTCCTGTAAGAACTTATTTCTGAAAAATATAAGAGAGAGAAAAGCATATTGTTACATGAGGCAGTTTCCTTGGAAGTTGTGCTTGTTTTGGCATTAGCTCTCTCTGGAATACTTACAGGTGAGGAACTACTAACATCCAATCACATTAATGCAAATGTGGTAAACGATGCTGTTCTCTAAACAGAGTTACATGCAAGTTGTGTTCAAAAGGGTCTCTTTGACCCTCTGCTCAAATTCTTTGACAGTTCATATCTGACACAAAAGTCAAGTTCTTACCCAATGTTCTTTTGCTACACAGAAGGCCCAGTCCCAGTAAGGAAATAGAGAAAAAACCTCCCAAACAAATCGCAATCACCATGAACATCCATCTCTGCATTTCTGTTTCGGAAGCCACAATCATCTCAGTTTCAGTTTCACAACAAACACAGAAGCAAGAAGGAGTGTGAAAATACTGAATGCCTACAAAAAGAGAACACAATCTAAAAAAGGAGAGGCAAAGTGTTGCTTCTCAACTGACAATTTAACTGTTAACGTTGCACGCAAGCTTCATCATGAAATTCTGATATATAATCAGAAACAGGTCTTTACTGTCTAATTTCAGAGCATTACGTACTACTCAAACCAAGCAGAAACACATGATCACAGCCCACTTTAATTTCAACTCCTGGTTCTAAAAAAGAGTTCAGTGGTAAGAATATTAAATAAATATTTGGAAAAAACAATATAGAAATGTATTTGTGTCACCAAATATTGAAATGTAAAAAAAAATAAAGAAATGTGAGTCTTTGTGTCACCTGATGTTGGTTTGTCTGTTGTGAGGGGAGGAGAACTAAAACTACCAGAGTTTCTTGGTCCAAAGGTTTGATCTGCTGAAAGAAGAAACTTCATTTCAAAAATGTTTAATACCTTTATATTTGTTATCAATGTTTTTTTTTTTACTTTTGATGAAGAAAACAAAAACAGTATATATTGTTTTCAGATTGTCTGTGTGCTCATGAATATTTATCTAAAAGTTGAGATAAAATAAAAATAAAATAAAATAAAACAGTTACAACATTCAAAGATAACACAAAACACATATGTGATTAAAACAGTGTGACTTAATATATAATTTTGTTACCTGATGTTTGCTTTATACGAGTTACAGGCGTGGAAGCACTGAGACCTGCTGAATAGAAATATTTTATAACTTTAAAAATAACAACTATATTGAGGGATTTGTGGTAATGTGGATTTTATTTCCACGTAGGTTCTACCTGTGGTCACAGTAGATGCCGGCTTAGTCTGCGTCGTGCTCGACTCGACAACATCTACAACAAAAGAGGATCAGTTTGGACCCGTCAGCATCATGTGTGAGCAACACCCTTTAATATCAGCTCCTGGTTCTAAATTCATAGGTGTTGAGTGGTGAAATATTGAAATGTAAAAAAAAATGAAGAAATGTGAGTATTCGTGTCACCTGATGTTGGTTTGTCTGTTGTGAGGGGAGGAGAACTAAAACTACCAGAGTTTCTTGGTCCAAAGGTTTGATCTGCTGAAAGAAGAAACTTCATTTCAAAAACGTTTAATACCTTTATATTTGTTATCAATGTTATTTTTATTTACTTTTGATGAAGAAAACAAAAACAGTATATATTGTTTTCATATTGTCTGTGTGCTCATAAATATTTGTCTAAAAGTTGAAATAAAATAAAACAGTTACAACATTCAAAGATAACACAAAACACATATGTGATCAAAGAAATGTGACTTAATATATAATTTTGTTACCTGGTGTTTGCTTTATACGAGTTACAGGCCTGGAAGCACTGAGACCTGCTGAATAGAAATATTTTATAACTTTAAAAATAACAACTATATTGAGGGATTTAATACCTTTATATTTGTTATCAATGTTATTTTTATTTACTTTTGATGAGGAAAACAAAAATATATAATGTATTCATATTGTCTGTGTGCTCATGAATATTTGTCTAAAAGTTAAGATAAAAGAAAAAGATTTAACAAAACAGTAATAACACTCAAAGATAACACAATACAAATATGTGATTGATAAAATGGGACTTTATATATCTGTAATTTTGTTACCTGATGTTTGCTTTACAGTAGTTACAGGCCTGGAAGCACAAAGACCTGCTGAATAGAAATATTTTGTAACTTTTGGATTTGTGGTAATGTGGATTTTATTTCCACGTAGGTTCTACCTGTGGTCACAGCAGATGCCGTCTTAGTCTGCGTCGTGCTCGACTTGACAACATCTACAACAAAAGAGGATCAGCTTGGACCCGCCATCGTCATGTGTGAGTGTGGGGGACAGTATTTATACAAACTTAAGTAGGAAGCAAGAGAAACAATTTGTGATTCTTTAATATCACGTACAATATATCTAGAATTGTGCGGAAGCACAAGACCTGCTGACGGTAAAATCTAGTGAAGAAATCCATATGAAAACCTTAAAAATATGTATTTTATATAAAATGTGCTTGAACAATCATAAAAGTGTGTTGTGTCATTTGTTGAAGATTATCTTGATAAAAACATTCCGTGGGCTTTATGTAAAGGGAACCAGGGTCACACTAACTTTCAGAGGTTGGCCTAGAAGATGAGTCAAACCTGTAGCCCTCTATTCAACTGTCACTGTCCTCTAAACAGCTGTTCTGTCGGAAAATGTATTGTACTTGGCTAATTAACTCATTCTGACTCTGCTGTCACAGCATCACATACAAACAAATTACATGCAACAAAACACTCAAATGTGGAGGCATAATTCCTGATGTTTGTCTAAATTAATTATTCGCTTGTCCCTTTTTTCAGTCCCTTTAAAAACACCTGAAATACGACACAGCGTAACCTAGTTGTCTCTCGCTGTCACTACTGTGCATGATAAGCAGTCACTCACTTTGGATTGTGATGGATGATGTGACACTGTGTGCAGATGGATGATTCACGTCTCCAACCATTACAGTGTAATAACAATCCACTTTAACCTCAGCAGGTGCTCTCTGGTCTGACATCCTCAACAGTTCAGTTCCTGTCAGTGTCTGCACACAAGTGAAGCCTTTGGCATGTTTTGCTCCGATAATGGTGAAATAACACTGGTGGACAGTAGGATATGATGGAGCTCGACAGTCCAATGTGACTGTTTCCGTCTCTGAGATCACCGCTGAATTCATTATGAGTTGAGGACGAGCTGGAAATACAGAGGTAAACCCTTTAAAATAGTAGATACTGAATAACTCCATTAATTAGGTCAATTCCTGTTGTAAAATGGTGATAGATTAAATGGAAGATGAAAGATCAGAGACTGACCTTGTGTTTTAGTATTGGCACAGGAATCTGTCGGAAATACAAAATGTTCAAACAACAAACATAATAATTCATTAATACCTTCAGAAATGGAGAAGATTAAAACTCCACCCTAAGTGAAATTATGTGAAACACAAGTTGGAGTTGAGATCAAGACACTTTTCAACCAAAGGAGTAAATTAGTTTAGAGTCTGCACTGCAGTTATACAATAAGTTCACAAAAAAACAGTAAGTAGGAAAAAACAGAGAACATAAAATCACCAACTACAAGGAAAGATCATACATACGTAGTATAGCATGATGGAACTGTGTGGAATTATATATTAATGTCATGTTTGCGAGTGAGAATCTTCCCTACAGTTTGTAATTGTACAACTTAAATAGTGTAGAATCTAAAGGAGGTTTGACTTACACATGAGGGTGACAAACAGCAGGCGTCCAGCCATGATGAAGAACAATCCTATAAGACCGACTCCAAAGAAGATGCTTGTCTAAGTGAACTTTGATGTACTCACGTATCATTTTGCCGAACTGCTTCTCAGAATACCACAGATAGCATTTCCGGTGAATCACACAACCAAACCACAGAAACATACATCTATTAGAGCCTGCGATGTTTTTAGATCCGTTTGGCCACAGCATTGAGCCTGAATACTTTACAAGTGAATGTGAGAGTTTGTTCCTCATTTGCTCACAAATTGCTTGCACCTATTCACACACTCAGCGTGCTCATGGTCTGCCCTCAGATCACATGCTGTTATTCCATTTTTGTCCCGACAGTACGACACTTACATCTGCATCTCACTTCAAGATTATGGTGGATAGTGTTTTTTGCATTCATTTGATGATTGCAATTTTAGTACTCACGAATCTTTAAGATATTAACTCATGACACAGAGAGGTTTGGTTTGTGCACCACTTCTTTATTATTTTAAATCCACTCGTTCAGTGTGTGCTTTAAGTCAAGACATGTTTTAACCCAGAATATATTTGTAAATTTCAACAATGAACTTTATGGACTAACCCATACATTTCTTCAAAATATATTTTCCCAGAATATTGCAAAAAAGTAATTGGACCCTTTGGAATGATTCAAAAGTGCTTTAAGTAGGCAGACGATACGAGGTCGCAGACGACTTTCATTTAAACCCCTAATTGATCGCACCTGGCGCTGATGAGATTCACCTGGTCTCGTTTTACCGGAAGTAGATGCATAAAGAGCAGCATCGCTCTTTTTCTCAGACTCCACGACACGTGTAGCTTTTAGTGGCCAGTTCTTCCCTCTTTATTGTAAATACTCAGTAATGCCTCCTAAAAAAACAGCACCAGCAGCGGAAGACACCGCCGATCTGCCCCCAAGCGATGCCCCGGTGGAAGAGAAGAAATCAAGTGCTCTTTTTTTTTTTTTTGTATATAATTGGTCATTTAATTTAAGGTGACATTTGATCCAATTATGTAAAACTTTGGTCTCATTCCTCTTTAGATGCTGCGGCGCTGCGCAAACTTGCGACCCATCCCTCCACCGCAATAATGGTGAAGGAAGCCCTGAAAGAGCTGGACTCACGCAAGGGCGTCTCCTCCCAAGCGATCCAGAGTTTCATCGGACAGAAATACCCCTCTGTGGATTTGGTGAGGCTGAAGCACCTGGTCCGCAGGGCCCTGAAGAAAGGAATCGAGACCGGCACGCTGGTGCGACCCGCCAACTCCAATGTCACCACTGGCGCAACTGGGAAATTTCGGGTGAGGTGTCCCAAGTAGACTCGTCGACTCTAGTAAAAATAATTGAACTCAATTTAATCGCTGCTGTTTTGTCCTCTGACACCAGCTCGCGCCAAACGCGAAGGAGGCCAAGCCAAAAACTGAGAATGTTGATCCCAACGTGCTGAAGGAGGCAAAGGATGTAGCCAAGAAGCTCAAGAAAGCGGGTACGATTAAGCCTGGATATAATGTTGAGGCGTGTCTGTTTTTAATTGCCTCTACCTTCTAAAAGGTGCTGCGAAGAAGAGCGATGCTGATAACGAAGAGGACAAATCTAAGGAGGTGAGGTTGTGTTCTGAGATGGAGGGAAACTGACATTTAGGCTTCCACGTAAAGGCAAGGCGACACATCTGAGGCCACAAAAAACACTGGGTCCATACGACTTTTGTTATGACTGGATAGTTGGATCCAGTAAATAAACAAAATTTTTGCCAGCAAACAGAAAACAAAACCACAACATACTTTAAAATTCTGTCAAAGCTTTGAATTATTATTATTTTTTTTTTTAAAGGAAGCCAAACCTCCAAAGAAGCCAAAGAAGGAAAAAGAACTTTCCACCTCAGACCCACCTACTTCAAAGGTTGCGCCAGCCAAAAGGCCAAAAGCGAAAAAGGCTGTGCCGAAGGTGAAGGAGGACGGTGAAGGAGCCTCTGAAGCACCAAAGACTACCAAGGCAGGAAGGCCATCTCGGAGCAAAGCTGCTAAAGCAGGCAGCGACCCACCCACTGTTAAAGCAACTGGAAAACGAGGGCGGAAGACTGCTGAATAAATATACACTGAACTGATATTTTATACTGTTTTGCAATAAAATCTTAATTTTCTGATTTTGTGTGCTTACTCCTTTCTGTGCATTTAGAGGAGGACGTTGAGTCTTGCTGTTTTTTGGGGGGGGGGTTTCCCGCACCAGATTGCCGAAGAGATCCTGGATTAATGTTTGAAACTAGGATTACTTTGCTTTTTCCTGGCATGTTTATAAGTTTGTGTAATGACCTGGCTGTCTTGTGCTGAGCCCTCTTTGTATACTCGACCCTAAACTGTTGCCTTACCCTGGAATTTTGGTTAAAAGTTGAATGTGCTGACATCGAGGTGTTAAAACTACATTCATGATGGGGACCAAATTAATACCCTTATATTGGTGGATCTGATTTTTGTGTCATTTTCAATTTCAAGACCAGGTGCACGTCAGCCTAGCTTTCAGGGTTCCTTTATTAAAATCCTTCCAAGAAGACTTTGCTCAACTAAATGTAGCACTATTGGTATTTTCTTTAATGATAAAACTGTGAAAGACATCTGCGGCTCTTTCAAGAGGCTGATGTGCAAGTTCATCTTTTCAAGTTAACTATTCTAGTCAACTCCTTGAACTGTTCACTCCTGCAAAATAGAAAAGCACCAGTTACTTTCCGCCTGCAGAGCACCGTGGGAGGCGCTGAGCACTATCAGTCTTCTTGTAGGGCCCCCGCTGTGGCCGCAGGCCTGCTGGTGGAAGGATTTCAAATTTCCAGAGCATTCTTCAAGTCTGCATTGTTTTCCTAGAGCTCGTGGAACATGACGTCAAAAGCCCGATGCCTGGATGTACAGGGTGCCCTGCGTGGACTGCCATGTCCGACCCTTGTTCTCCCATGACCCTCATCTCGCTGGATTAATCCATTTTTTAATGCTACCATGTAATCAATACTTCCAAACCTGAGCGAGGGACGCCACAGTTCTGATAAGTTGAGGAAAGATGAAGAAACCGTCAGTTGTGTAGTGGTCAAGATTTGGTTGGTAGGCAGATGAACCTCTTTATAATAACTGCATTTGATTGTCCCAAAGGCCGTATTCTTTATTTTTGTATCACAATAGCAGACGGAATTCTTCTGCAGGAGGAGAATATGAACGTGACACCTCTACCTGGTACGAGGTTACTATCTTCATCCTTCATGCATTGCTTTCATCACAATTAGATGGAAGATATCAAAATGTTGTTTTTGTCCTTGAAAAGGGCATTTTAAGATACTGTGAGTTTTAGCAGCAACAACACAGAAGGTACCAGGAAAGCACAACAATCACCTAAATTCAACTGAATTGAGTAGAAGAACCTCTGGTTTTACCGGCTATATTTTAACGAGTTGTTTTTTAAATGATTGTCTGAGTTGTAGCTACAAACCTGACTGATTGTCCCTGACTCTGACTTGCTGTGTTGCATCTTCTGGAAAAAACAGATGTTCTTCTGTACCAGTGTTAATTTTGGCAGCTATTTTTGATTTAGTCTTAGTCTTTCGACGAAAATGCATATTCGTTTTAGTCACATTTAATAGACATATTGTAACAGTTGTATCAAAAGCCTCCACCTGACACGTGTGTTCGCGCGTCTATGTTGCTTAGTAAAAATGTTCGTTAACGACTTTTTTCCCATGAGACTAAGACGCGACGAAAACGGATCTTTGAAGAAAAAAACGACAAAATCTATTCTAACTTTTGTTAACGAGACGAGACGAAAATGTTGGTTGAGGAAGTCACAATACTTTTTTTAATTTCAATTTTAGTAGCACTTAAATGGAAACCGGGCTTGACATCAGCACCCGCCGACTCGCCAAATCCGGGTGGAATCCGGCTGTGGCGAGTAAAGCGTCTCTCTCACTGGCCACTTTGGCGGGTGTAATTCTATAGATGTCTATATAGTTTATTGTCGTGTAACGGCGGTTATTAAAGTGTCACACGTGCTGCATCATCCACGAACGCTGCACGCTCGGTCACATCGGTGGTTCTTGTGCACCGACTATAGTGGAAATTACTATAGTTCACACGCCACATCGTGAGAAGACTTGTGTTAAACCGTCTCGGCCACCGTACGCTCGTTTCCGTTTCCGTCTTCGTCTCGTCGAAGTCTCATGGGAAAAAGGTTGTTAACGAACATTTTTCGTCATAGTTTTGATCAACAAAATTAACACTGTTTTGTACACGCTCAAATATCCCTTGTTCGCAGCACCAATCTTGACATGGAGGAAAAAGCACACGTGAAAAACACATGGATTCCTAAATGATCAGTTGCTATTAAACGTTTCTTGATGCCGCTTGAATGATGATAAATGCGTTGAGGACCTCAATGCATTTCAAAATATTGAGGAATGAGTGCTATATTAACTGTGTTAACTGTACTGTTTTCTTTACATTTGCAACAAGTGAGACAGAAAATAGCCTACATGTTGGATAATGTATTAACTACAAATCAAAACCTGGAACTCCTCATGCCTGTGTTACTCTCATAGATAGGTAGTTTTGGAGATGTTAACGTAAGAATCAAAGCTTCACACTGTCTTCATAGCACAACCTCTCACTTATGTACAGTGTATTCTAAACTTATACCCAACAGGCAAAAACAAAGTGACACCAACAAGCTTAGAAACTTCATGATATTGGAGTTAATTTCAATTTCACATTTTAAAACAGCAAATTTATTTGTCTTTAAAAAATAAAAAACAACAACAGAACAACTAAAAAGTATTACTATTTCATTGTCACGAAGAGAAACAGTACGGAAGCACTGAGTCTTTGAGCACTTTGATTGCTCTTCAAGTATGTTCATTCAGTTCATTGATTATTCTTCTGCAGCGGAAAAGACAACCGGCCAGACGGAGCCAGTTGGCCCAGAGGGCAGAATCGCAACTCCAAACTCTATGGTCATGATGGCAACATCCTGGTGGAGGCAGAACCAGTGTTACCGACTTCACACATCCATCGGGAACCCACTATTATTTGATCCAGTGACGTGTGTGTGGTACCAGAGCATCGCAGCTGATGTGCAAGCACCAACTTCTTCAGAGTGTAATAAGCAGGAAGAGGAAGAGTTGGTCACAGAAGCTGAGATTTTTAAAGACTGAGTGAAGGGGAACAAAAGAGCAGACTGAAAAACCAAAGCAGCGAGACTAGAAGAGCGAGAACGTACAAAAAAAAAAGAGAATATGGACTAACTAAATTAGCTGTCAGCTCATTACAGTTAAAAGAAAGATTAAAAGCTCATAATCAGCAGTATTAAAAATAGCGGTGACATCAAAAACAATACCACTTGAATTAGCTCATAAGTAATAAAACTCTGAATTACAATTTCTTCTGTGGGAAAACAATGCAAATTTTCCCACATGTAAACAAATTCACTCAGAAGAGAGAAATCAGGCGTGCGGTTCTCTCAGCACCTCCTTCAACTGTGCCTGTTATATGTGCCCGTCTAGCCTTATTCTCTATTGTATTCTTTTCAAAAAGAGATAAAGTGGCAACACTCTGATGCAACCCTAGGACCACTGGGCTTCAACGTGCACGGCGGGTCAGTGTTCCCTCCCTTTACACATCAGCCCCCCCCGAATCCTCCGTCCTGTCCTTGTTCGAGCAGGCCGCTCCGAGCCGGTCATCTGGAGTGCAGGAGAAAGTGATGCAGGTACTCTGAAATGGCGTCCCAGTGCCTCCAGAGGAAGGCCAGCAGGATCACGAGGAGCAGCGTGGAAAGAGTGCGGCTGCGTGTTTTCATCAGGGGGACGACACAGTTAGCCACCGTGGACACAAACACCAGCAGGACGGCCATCACCGCCAGCAGCACGTTGATTAGTTTGCCCAGCAGAGTCCGCGCTGTGGCGTTCTCCAGACCCTCCAGCTGCACCACCTGCTGCTGCTGCTGCTGCAGCTCCATCTTGGAGATACGCGTCTGACACGCCTCCAGCGCCTCCTGCAGGTCGGAGACAAAACCGTCAGGGAAATTGCTCCGGTGACAAAGCAGAAACATCCTGTTCATTGGGAGTGAAAATCACCTGAATGTCTCTCGCTCTTTCGTAAGACTGGTAAGCGATCTTCTCCTCCATGCTGGCTAGTTCCTGTTTCAAGTTCAGAATTTCATTTTGGTGCAGCTCCGTCAGGTCATTGAGTTGTTCTTCTAAACGTTCACACCTGCAAAACAAAGCAGTACATCACAAACAGGTCAATTTCCTTCTGCCCATCCGGACCGATCAGCGTACGCGGGGTGATACGACACCTGAATCGTTCCTCCTGCAAGGCCTCCATGATCATTGTGTAGTCCCGCTGATAGTGGGCCTTCAAGCTTTCAAAGGACTCCTCTAGTCGACCTTGGTTCTCCCGCAGCTTTTGGATCTCATGGAGTATAGCATCAAAGCCAGAGGCATGGCCGTGATCAAGGGTGTTGCCCTTGGAGCTAGGGGGGCCTCCGGGGGCTCCGGTCAGGCTGTTGGCTCCCGCAGAGCCGGAAGTAGCGCTGGAGCAGTCCTCGTCGCTGCCGTACTTTGGGCTGGACTGCAACTGTCCAGTGCCGAGGGCCCTCGTCCCTCCCGGTCCGACACCTTCGTCTCCCTGGGTTTCGTCCAAGGAATCTCTCAAGGCTGCGATGTTATCAGCACTGCCAAACTTGTTGCGGATGAGGGAGGCGATTTCTCTCGGCTTGGATACCACGGCGCCAGCTGCAGAGTGAGTGGCATGGGAGAAACTGGAGAGGCCGCCTGTCACCTGTAATGAGTGGTCTCAGGTAAGCGCTCAGGCTGAGTTAGCAATATGAATAACTGCTGTCAAACTGATCACAGGAGTATTTACAGGAGCCGGACAGGAACGTTTTCATTTAATAGCCTTAAACGCAAAGGATCAGCATGAGCCGTCTTACCTTATAACATTGTGTAATCCTGCAGTTTTAGAGCAAAACCATCTGCAGCCTTTATAAAATCCAGGACCGGATCACTGAAGCTAAAGGCTAATTCTGCACTTTGGGTTAACCAGGACGTTTACTTCTTGCAATACTGAACATTTTTCTTCTATTGCGTAGTTTCAAAAAGGTACAACAATTACTCCACATGCTGATCTTGTCATACGTCGTTTTCTTTCTGCATGGACAAAAATCTCGACGTATCTAACGGGTTTTTTTCAAACGGCCCGCTTAACTGGAACTAATTCCGGTTTCAAGTGAGACAGCCACCTTTTGAAAACTAATATAGACTGCTATCAGAGATATCACTACTTTATTGGAAAAAAAAATTTTTTTGGTTAATAAAACCCCCTAAATGTTCCTGAGAGTGAGTTTTTGGCAAACAAAACAATAAAAAAGCACACACCTTGGCTCCAACGTCTTTCAGCCCCTGGTGCATGTCTCGGAAAACATCTTTGGGCTGGCGAGGGATGCCGTTGTGCTCCACCTCTCGAAGCTTCCGGTGGTAGTGCTCCAGTTTCCTCTGCAGTTGCTGGATAGTCTGAGCGGACTTTTGGTTCTTCTTCTCAAACACCTGTTTGATGCGTGCGCTCTGCTGTTTGTCTGCATTGTTGGCCAGTTTCAGGTATTCAGCCACGTTGTCATCTCGTGCCGTTTGTTCAATTTTGATTTGTTCTGTGAGCTTAAGGATCTTCTGTTGCAGCTGGGCGATGGCCAGCTTAGTCCGCTGGGGATCTGGGGTACCGTCAACTACATCGTACCCATCTGCCCCGTAGGGGAGAGCGTTGGGTGACACTGCGGGGCCTGATCCATCATAGCGATCCAGCTGTTCAAAAGGACAACAGAAGAGGTGGGGAAATTATGACGGAATCAAGAGAAAACATTAAAATCGATGTTTATTAACATGTAACTTTGTCATGCACGATTGTGCGAGCACTGGGAGATGTGTTGCTGTCAATAAGTTGATGTTTATGATACGTTCTCTCTGTGTTATGAGAACTGTTACAGTATCTGAAGTGAATAGTGTATAAAATCGTTTGTTTAGCCCTGCAAGCCTTCTCTGACCTTAAGTACACTCAGAGACTGCAAGATTCTAAATTTAGAAAAGGCTTAAAGCACATAGTCACCAACTACTCAAAGGCAATAGCTGACCTTCCACCACTCACAGCTCATCTCCCATTCACCGGTTCATCCAGGCACAGCTGAGCCATTAATGGCCTTTAACACATTTGCACAATTCACTTAGTTTTGACATTCTTGCACAGATTTTAGGGCATGACTCGGTTTTATCTTCTATTTTGAAGCAAGGTTCTAAACAAACACAATGTAATGCACCAATGAGCAATGTCTCTTTGTATTATGATTTTGAGAGTTTTACTGTGCATGTACTAGGAGTGATATTAAAAAGTATATATATTATTATGAATGAAGAACAAATGTGTATATTTATACAGAAAGAGGTTCCAGTAATACTATAATGTATGTGGGACTTTCCAAAACTTTTTTCATTTTAAGCAAATTTTCATGCATTTTTTCACTGCTATTGTTCATTATATTTATTCTATTTGGGACAAACAAGTTCTGAGCTTTAGCACTTCAATTCCCATCATACTTTGGGGATGCAAGCAGGATATCAAATGTCCCGGAATCTGTGCGAGAACTGTTGCCAACTCTTTTAGCCCATATTGGTTTGCAGCAAGGCGAGTAAGCATTTGGAAAGTGATACTGTGTTAGTTCTTAGCAGGTTCTGAGGCCTCAGTGCACAGACAATGATTCATTTTTGTACTCAAGGAAACAGCTAACCCCGATGAATACGAGACATGTTCGGAAGTTCTGAGAAGTCTTTTTTTCCAGCGATTTTTAAGCAAACTTATGGGCATTTACCAGTGATGGTAATTGGAGAAAGCCCTCCCTGTAAAGGGTAAGTCACAGTCAATCAATGTGTTTCAAGTCTCTGTGTTTAGATTTGAGTGAATTATGACTCACACAGGGAGAACAAATCAATTTATATTTTCTATTCTCCCCCCCACCCTCACAGACCCACATCCTGGAACTCTAGGCGATTGCCTATGTAACCGATAGCACAAACCTCCCAGTGCATGACTTACGTACACAAACACTGCTACTTCTTCCTGTAAGGACTGGTCTGTTGCACGTCGATGGTTTATTTCTCACCTTGTCAGGCTCCTCCGTTGAGTGGTAGCCGGAGGTCAGGAGGACATCAGCGAGAGCCGGGCTGGTGGGCGTGTCTGTGGTCGAGGAGGACCGCGGCCGGCCGGCCTGCAGCAGGGCTTCATGGGTGCTGCGCCGGTGGATCTGTGGGCTACCTTTCTGGGGAGGCTCCCCGGTGCCCCCCACCTTGCCGCGGCGGCTCTGCAGGCTGGTGCCTCGCTTCATTGGTGGGGCACCTCGGATCTGCTGCAGAACACGGCTCAGAGCTGCGGGAGGGGCGGAAGCGGCAGAGTTGTCAGAATCCAACGGGAGGGCCGAGGAGGCGGGAACGTCCCCTACCTCGGACCCTGCGTCAGCGGGTTCGGAGGCAGGGGCGCCTACGCAGGACGAGACGGAGTCATGTGGGGAAACGGAGGAGCGTCGGCGCTGTGGCTGGAAGAACTGCTTCAGGCCATGGCCCAACGCTCCCATGTTCTCCAGGGCATTATGGGTGATTTTTGACAAGCCATGCTCTGACTCCGACGCCCTCCTGCCGCCCTCCAGCTCCGCTCGGCCTCCCGCGTCCGGCTCCTCTGGACTCTGCTCACTACTACCCTGATCCATCTGAGACCTCCAGTGTCTCGGGGAGGTGCTACTTGGGGGTGCAGGGGACTAGCAGCGTCCCGTCGACACCCCCGTCCCCTCCCTCTGAGCGCCTGGTTGAGAGCCGGGTGGTGCTCAGTTGGGCCCTTTGAGTGGACATGCATCTGTGGCTTGGCTCAATGTCATGCTTGTCTACCACAAAAAGGAAAATAAAATGAATTATGACATGCAGCAGTGAGTGATGAACATAATAAGCAGAATATAAAACAACATCTAGCAACATAAACTGGGTTGACACAGACACTCGTTGAAAAACATACATTACAGTATCCATTTTAAGTCAATAGCATTTGGCATGTCTGACAACCCAGTGAGGCAAAAACACAAATCTCTACAAAATAAAGAGAATAGTTTCTGAAATGTCATTGTTTGGAATCTTGTACATGTTGAAGCCTTTATTAAAAAGGAATAATATTATTTCAGAAAGTATTCATAATGGAAATAATGATCAACATAATTGAGAGTGCTTTAATGAACAAAGAGTACAGTGTGAAAAATGTAAATTAAATACTAAGGAAAGCGATTAATATCCAAGTCTCAACTGATAAAAGGTGTTCAGCGATCCACTGCGGTCTTCCCTTTGCCTCTCATTGTATAACGAGGCCAAATCCTGGAATGTAAAGGACCATTCCAAGACTCTGGCCCTCGAATGGCAGATTATAGAAAAGCATTTTGTTTTATCTACATGTAATGAGACTGTGAGACAGAAAGCAGGAGAGAAGGTGAGAAAGAGAGTGACAGACAGCTTACCATCAGCCCAGCGTCTCCTCTACTGACTCACAACTCGGGATTAGCTAAATGAACAGAAATGGAAACAAAAAATAAATAAATCATACGTTCAGTGCAACAGGAAAGGATACGGTTCAGAAAGAGGCCCATTGTGGCACCACAGAGAAACACAAAGCTTCAACTCAGTAGGAACTAGTAAGAATGGATGTAAAGGGACATCAAAACCTGGCATGAACGTTATGTGGCTCAAAGAATCTGTCACTGCACAACTCATCTCTATAACGTCTCGTCTGGAGGGGGGGGGGGGGGGTTTGGGAGGAGACAACCGTACTGAGAGAGAGACCTTCGGCCAACTAAGAGTTTATACTTAAATACAAAAACCCATTTTTACATATTAGATTTTCAGATGGCCTAACAGACAGGTTTTATTCACAATACTGATTTGACATTTAATTCATGGACAGTTTAACATCATCAAACCCAGAAGGCAAGCAGAAACTGGCTTTATCAAGATTTGCACATTTATTAACAAAGGAATATATGCTTTTAAGATGATTGATGATCTCAGAAGGTAATGATTCAATATTCTTACTTCAGTGTTCATCTCTGAAGCCACACACATACACAACTGCACAACAACACTTCTGCTATGCCTCCGCCTGCTTGAACCACATGTTAAATAAAAACCTGGATAGCACCCATCACCAATAGTTACCGCTCAGTTTTTTTTTTGTAAAGAACAGATTACAATTCGTTCATCCATTGTCAACATTACATTTGAGATGACTAACTCACAGATTATTTTTCAAAAAACTGGAAAAACGGTTCCATTAGTCAGCACTAAGTATCACTTAACAAGCCGGCAGCGCAATACCCCAAAAAAACAAATAAAAGGCTCCGTTAGTGCAACACGGTGACTCACTGCTGCTGGTGCAGCCGTTAGCTCTCGGCGTTGGATAAGAAAGCCCTTTGTTAAAGGGTAGGTGGTGGTGCACCGTACAGCTATAACAGGAGATACTAGGTACCTGACTGACACGCTTCAACAACGGTTGCATTTTTTTCTTTTTGAATTGTGATACTTTTCACTCATTGCCATCCCTCATCCCACTCATTCCTCAAAACAAATGAATACATCAACAGATTGACGTCAAACATCCCCCCACTTCTATAAAAGGACAATAATTTAAGAATCAACAAACCAATGGAAACTCTAAACTACATTTCCTTAAACTTAATTCAACACGAGTCAAAGATAATGAAGTTATGTTTGACATCATGTCTTAAGCCACAGTTGTCTAAACTTAGTTATATGCGTGGATCCATGGCTGCTGCTTTAAATCTCCCCTACGCAGGCTACAAGTGCACATTTCACTGGCTGTGGATGTCGTAACGTCAAGGCTAACAATGATCATGCATAGAACACGCAGCAACATAGACAACTGATTTAACAGAGCTTCATCTATGAATTCCTGAAATCGTGAAAAACAGGCACTCATTGCCTGATCCCGAATCACTAATTAATAGACTGAGACGCTGCTATTCAGTAACGTATTGCAGTAGAACCTCGGGACGAGACTCAGGAACACACAGTCCACACAGTCGCAGAACTATAGCGCTCAATGAAAACATGATGACGTCCGACTCTTCTAGGCTGAGGGCGAAGTTTTCTTTCCAAAGTGGGTCACCAAACATTCGCCTCTCACTCTGGTACATGTAGCGCTACAAGGTCACGTCGTCTAGAGGGTGTCGTGCATGTCCAGCAGCATTTAAGCTTTTACTTGTGTTGCATTTACATTTCTACAAAATGACAGCAGGGCATAATTGTGTGTTCTTAAAGTCATTGCTACATCGGCATACGGGCTTACATGCTCTAATCAAATATTCCTACATTGGTACTCATGAGGTTCAGATTGTGTTAAAGAAATACAACAACAGATTCATGCTAATATTGAATACTAAAAATGGGCTCATTCAGCAGCTCTTTTGCATCGTCTTTCTGCCTTCTCATCACTTTCTATGACCAGTCAGGTTCAGTCAGGCATTGTGAGTCAATAGAGCCTTCTTGCAGGACTGCAATTATAACATGCACACAAATACATATTGATTGACATTCAACGTGATAATATTATTGTTCAGCAAAGATCTAACGAAACGAAGAGCGCTTCGGTTTAAATACAATAGAGGCGCACAGAACTAAAGCAAGAGTCCAAATACAGATAAACGTACCTTCAGATGTGCTCATCAGCAGATAATTTGTGGGTCGATCAACACTGGGAAGGGCTCAATCCAGGACAATTGGACGGCTTCCTCCGTGTAAGTCTTACAAATGGAAAACTGATAGCTGTCAAACTTTAGTCAGCTGTTCCCATGGACATTTAGGAAAATAACATGCTGTGAAGACAAAACAACACAGAGGCCCGACAGGGTGAGAAACAGTTTGCTAAGAAGGGGATTGCAACATTTTGAAAATTACAATTTCAGACAGAGGTTACGTCCTGATTTATTAAATTGAGTTATTCAGAAGTATCTAATAAATACTGTATTAACTATTTTTTTCTGTAAAAAGAAAATGTGTATAATATATATATATATATATATATATATATATATATATATGTATAGTGTCATCATGACTATGGATTTACGTAGGTCTGTTCCCCTAGAAATAAAACTAAATGTAGAACATGAATCATCAAACTATACAGGGTAAAGCAGATAAAAACAAGTTTGGATTGAACAGTCAGATATTTATACCATCAGGTCTACACATCAGTTGTTATTTTAAGAATCCTCACATCCCACTTGTTAGTAAAGACGCTTTGCAGCTAATGTCATTGAATACATATTGTAGACTGGAACTATCAATGATTGTATGCTGTCTGAGAACCATCATTTATGCAACAAAATATGACAAAATGATCGCAAATGTTTGTCATAGGCTGGTCTACAGATTACTATTCTTATCTATTGGTATCATTAATAAAACCATTATCCTATTACCTTAGTATTAACACCAAAAGGCAGCCTATTATTTAATTTCCTTCCAATGGAACAAAAGTGAATAACAATGATCACTCAACCCAAAACAACCACTATTTTTGGAATGAGCTCATACAGGAAAGTGGCTTAAATGGCGAAAGGAAAACCCGTTCTGAACGCTGTACGGCCCGTGGCTTCAAGGTCAACGTTTGAGTTGAATGAATTGTGTAAATATTGATTAATGGTGCCGCGTAGCCGCAAGGGCTTATCTGCAGTAAACGAATCACCCAACTGAGATAAAGTCACTCAACGCTGATCTAACGTCCATAAACGGTGACGTTGCACAGTTACCCAGAAAGCGTCGCTCTCCGCGTGAATACGTGGATGCCGTCACACGTTCACTCCGATGACATCATCACCACCAGCCAGTTCAGTGGCGACAATAAAAGTTTCCTTTTACCTTAAGACCGTTGCGTTGAACGCACACTTCCGCGAAACACGCCCGCGTTAGACTGCGTGTTTACCGCCGCGCAGCTTAGGCTCGTTAATTCAATTACTCCACGAGTTACAGGTGCATTCGGTGTCGTTACACGTTGGGCAACAGTAGTAACGCGTGCGCTTACCAACGTAAAAGCAGATGAGTGGATGCAATGAATCTCGCACGTAGCCGACGTTACCTGGCGGTGTTTAAGCGTAACGTGAACAAGTTACTGTGGTCTGAGCCCGGAGTTTTAACACCAGCTAAAAATAAGAAGCGGATGCAATTAGCGGCTCGCTAGCCAACGTCCGAAGGCCTGACCTCGAAAACAACCGAATGTAATGTACAAAAGCGGGAAACGCCCATGCGGTTTGTTGTTTATTGAAGGGTGGTGCCGACCGTTGCGGTGGATAAAGTCCAGGTGACTCGTTGCCCCCGTTTTGATGGCGTGTCTGCCCCTCTGCTAGCTAGCAGCACGAGCTAACGTGGTGCACCGGGAAGAGCTCGTTTTACGTCACAACGCACACCGGCACTACTGTGAGGGGCGAGGTCCTGGCGTTGTGCTACTATGTAGTTAGGGTTAGTGAATATTTAGCATAACAGCTGCCCGATGTCACCAGATAACAAATAGTACACTATGTTTTATATAATATATGATGGTGGGATAGGGAACATGGTATACATGATGTAATGTGATACACACACACTTCCCAGGATAATCCAGTAGATACATGATTCACCTGTTCTAATAACTTAAAATCACTCATAAATCAAGATTATGGCGCGTTGTATCACGTCATTACTGTTAAATGACACAATTAAATACAACATAATCGGGCATTTTGAACATCAAACTAAAAAATGAATCTTGCAGGAAAGTGCCACAATAAACTGCCACATTGACAAAGACCTCGGGTCGTAAATAAGGTCACATCAGTCTATGTCATCACCACACATGAAACGCAATGTACCTCCATTATATAAAACATGCAGAAGAATCCTTTCCAAGTAAATAAAGCGGCCCTCGCAGGTGTGAGAAGCTCAGAAAGCAGCGGGCGAATTCGGGTTGGAGGTTGCGCGTGAGCCATCTGCCCCGTACTCCCGCCGGGCTTCCTTAATCACACCCCGCAGGAGGCTTTTATTTCACGGTGGGGGATTCAAGTCCCACGTCCCTCACAGTGAACCGAGTCGAGTTTAACTGTGAACCAACGCCGAAATTGTCCAGTCAGCTAAAAGTACTTCAGTTTAATTTGACGTTTCCGACACGTCGCGGTATAATTACATAATTGAATCCGAGCCATGGGTGCTGTCTCTTGGGAGGTTAAACCCTCACTGAGAAGCAAACGCGATACGCTTTCCCGACCACTCACATGTAACTAACGTTCAAACGCAGCCCCCCCAGTCCAGACGCTCCCGGGCAGCAAAACAGGCGCCCCCTCGTCGCCTGGCTACTCCGCCTGTCAGTTAGCAGGCTGGCTAGACGCTCCGGCTAAAAAACATCGCTTCGGCCATTGGCTCAGTCCAAGCGGACCGGGGCGCCTCGCCAGGCGGGCGGCGACTGTCGGAGAAACGCGGTTAATCGACCGCGGCCCCTTCCGGGCGGAATCGGATCGCGGCACATCGGAAACACATTTCATTCATAGAACCTTTCGTAAAATGTGTGTTTTGCTCGGCTTCAACTTACATGGGCGCTGAGAGGATTGTGTTGATGACCGTTCATTTCTCCCGATGGTGGAACACTCCCACGGTGACGTCAGATAGCGTGCTCGACGTCAGAACAGCTGAGCAGCGGACAGAAACCTGTCCGGTGAGATCCGTGCAGGTGATGCGGGTAATCCTGTGTCGTACAGTCAATAGATTAGATTTGTGTTCTGAACGGGTTTTGATGTCATGTTTGATGACTAATTAAAGTGTTGTCAGACTCAAATAATGACCATCTTTAGGCCAACAACATTTTCAAGGCAATGCTGAGAAGGCTTTGGAGTATGTAAAGTTGACATTACTCACATTTGTCAAGCTACAACCCTGGAGGTCTTTGCCCGTCAACGTTATTGTTTCCCAACAAACGTCAATCAAAAAATTAATAATTTAATTGAAATTCCTCTTATTATATCCAAGGTTAATTAAAGGTGCGGCTAGTAAAATGGCTAGGTGCACTTGTATAGGCAGCGAGAGGATTGGTTTGTGTTTGTCGCTCTGAGAGGGATACTTAGGGGGATGTAACACAGGGATCTGGTAGGTCTGGTGATATGAATTACTGTTGTGGGACTGAAGAGCTTGAGATTGACCTTGCGGTGGTTTTAAGATTTGCGAGGAAGAATATTGAGAGGGCATCTACTGAGAGAACTTTGGATATTGTGGCATAAATAAGAATGCAGGGTGCTGAGCTGCAGGTGCCTCTTTGTTTTCAGTGTTTGACTGTGTAACGTCACTGGAGGGAAGCCGTGGATGCCGAGGCAAAGTCCCGCATCCCTAATGTTTTGGACACTTTGGGTCAGTTACATACCCTTGCGTAACTCTTTTCTATTAATGTATATACATTTGACACTTAAATGACATACTTGTTTTAACATACTCATTTGTTTTTGTATAATATGACAATTTCCCAATTTCCTTTTTTAAATTCTGTCTTCCACTGTTGCACTGTGCTTATTGTTATGCACCCATCACCAAGGCAAATTATGTCTAAAATATACTTCAACGGCAATAAACCGTTTATGATTCTGAGTAAACTGCTCAAGATGCTGCGGGAACTGGCTATTGCCTCCAGGTCCAATGTCCGGTATATAGGTATGTGACTCCGAGCTCAATATCCTCCTTCCTGGGAATAGATACTTTTCATCCTGCAAATTGAGCAAATCAATGTGTAAATTTGCCATTTGTAATCACAAGAGGGCCCACCATACCCTGATCTTTCTGCTAAACCCTCTTGATTGACCAATCGGACAGTTTTGTGCAAAACTCAAACTTAAAATTGACTAAGTGCAGGATGGAAGAAATAAGCTTAGCGATTTATTGGGCCGAGATAAGCAAAAGGTTCTTCTTTAGATATGAATAATGAGGCTACTGTTTGTGTACATGTATAATTTGTCCTGCAGGACAAATCAAACATTAGAACAAAATAAATGCAATTCTCAATATTTTAATGCAGCATTTCTGCAAATGACTTTTATCATGGTAATTCATATGAAGTAATTTTATATGATGATATACACAATGAGAACAAGCATGCAGCTTTCACTTATTATTAAGGTAAGCCAAACAAAAACACTAATCTGATGGCGAGAAGTGTTTTGATGAGGCAATGTCTTGCAGAAGAGTCTGTCCACATTATGTGATTCATTTCATGGAGTCTGGATAACAAAGACTGGGTCGTTAGAAGTGGTGCTCCTGACAAAAGAGACAGCTAAGAGGTCTGTGACATCATCTTCATACCGGTCATGCTGATGCATCACTGCAGAGGGCGCTCAGGGAAATTATTCCTTCTGATGTGCAGCAGCTGGAGACTCAACACACTACCAGGCGACTGTATCGGCACTTTAGATGTAGATGTATACTCTGTATCCAACTTCCACCAGTACCAAACATAAACTGGAGGCGAAGGTATTGTACCTACATTTCCATCAGTCGTGTCTTGTGTCCAAGAGGGATGTAGGGGTGTGATCAGACCTCCTGCTAAAGGCTGTCCCTGGCGAATGCGTCTTCAATGCGGCGCCTGAGGTTAACAGGCGTTGGCGTTCTATCAGACAAAGAATACATTTGCATACACCAACTTTTTGCCCCATCAGCGTCAGAGCTGCTGCTGCTAACTGGATCAAGCTGGTATGCTGGAGTCTGTTGATCATCGTATGGACTCATCAAGTTGTTGGTGAAACCTTTTATAGACATATAGATATAGTTTGCCAGTTACATACACTCAGGTCTACCCAGGCTTTCTTAGAGGCCCTTTCCAAATGTTTTTCAAGAATCTACCCTACAAGCTGGTCTCCTCCACCGCTTTAGGCACTTCACTTCTGTTCGCCCCTTGAATGATCTCTTAACAGTGTCCAGAAGTTGCAGGATCCCATGACAACCAAAGAAAATGCCTGAGCTAACTCAAGAATTCTGGCCCAAAACTGACTGAGCCACCAACCCCAGCCCGAGCGCCTCCACTTCCCTAACACAGTTGTCACTCACTTTGCACACTTCTCAATGCCCTGTGGAGAAAACCCACTGGCGTAGAAGACATGAGAAATGGATGTAGATGAGTGAAAGACTCATGAACCCCATGCAGAATGGAAGTCCAAGGGGAGCGAAGGTAACCCATGCCCAGAGAAGGAGCTGCAGAGCAACATTGTGGAGGGCTGCCAGAGAAGCACGAGAGAGGAACAGACGGGTGCAATAAGGATCAAGCAGAAGGACTGGGAGTACAGGGCTGTCCAATCCTCAAAATGAGAGACAGTGAGAAGCAGAAAGAGGAAAAGTTAAAAAATAAATATAAAAACATGCTGGAGAAATCAATTTATAAACCTGTATTTTGAATTAACTGTATTTTACAATGTAGCTATGGATATTTTCAAATAAGTACTGATCATATTTTGTAAGCCCAAATAATTATACCCAGTGAACAAAAATTGTGTATGAATTCTATAACTAAAGTAAACTTTTAAAAGAAAACATATAATTGTCTGTATTTACCATTCAGAAAATCATCATTTACTATGGATGTGTGACTCCTTTAATTGTTCCTCAGACGTTATGCGTCTGCCTTCTCCCTCAGAGATTATGCGTATACTGGGAGAGTATATTTTAATAGAAGTATCAGCTTCGTCAGCTCCTTGGTTTTAAACCCTTGAGCAGTGCAGAGTGCGTACCGGTGTTAACGTGATTCCAGACCAGAGGAGGTTTTCATTGTCATTCCGCTCAGACCCCTTTTGGATGATGAGTGTCTGTGAGGCCACGCTGTTAACAACCTGTCGCCCTCCTCGGTGTTACTGTTGCTGTCTGAATGGAAGATCTGTTCACTACCCAAGATGTCAGGGGTCGTGCTTGCACTTTGACTTCATTGTACAGTATCAAGTTGTTCTGGCGATTGTGACATTTCAATAAGGCTCCAAATTGAAGAAAGGGACACTGTAATGTGTTTCACAACAATTCTACTGTGTAATCCAGTGGGTTTGCAGACTCAGTTTTCATAGTAAAAATACAGCCCAGCTTGGCAAAAGCATGGAATTGGTATCACACAATTCAAAATTGTACATGAATAAAATGATTTATTGCATTTTAATAAAATGAATGCCTTGTATCCTGACTTGCTATTCAGCAAGTCTAATGGTTGGACCAAGTGCGCAAAGTCATAGTCACCACTTAGATAAAAGTAACTATGTTTTTATTGCTACAGTAAGCAATTTTATTAGAGACAAATATTAAGGATACACGTGTATTACTCTCTCCAGTGCTTCCACCACATAGCCTCTGTGGTCTGCATTGAGTGTGGGAATTAACTATTTCCTATCCAGTGTGATGGGGACGTGGCCTATGCACCCAGCGCATCTATGTCGGTCCACCTTAAGAAGGGCGAGAGGCAGTTTGTTGTGGAGAGAACTGGGGCAGGCCCTCGGCTGCACATGCCTAGCTCTTTAAGGCAGACTGGGGAAGTTACATTTTGTTAAAGGTACATGCATTCTAATGTTTACCAACACCAGAACATCTCTGGGAAGCGTTTTTAACACTGCTGTCCTGTGTATATTTTTATGTTTCACTTATAAAATGACTCAACGTAAACAAAATAAAGTCAATTTTCAAGCACGTCTCTGCGCTTTCACAGTCCTCTCAGAGGCCCTGTGGCATATTGAGATTACCGTGAGATTTATGTACAACATCGTTCTGAAAGTGTCAATCTGGTTTTCCTTTAAATAAAAAGCACTCAATGAATGCTTTCCTTTAGATTTAAAATCCAACTAAATCTGTCCATCTAACTTTTCCTGTCCACTTCTATTACTTCCCAACTCTGCTTTTCAATGTCAGATAATGAAGGAATAAGTAGGTCAGATATAATAACCCATAGTCGAGTCATATCGCGTGGCTCTTGGTCACCCAATACATTATTTTGGTGGATTTTTAAAAATGCAATTTACTAGTTCTAAAATATGACGAAGCGTCCATATGAGAGGCTACAGTAACATATCTTGGGTGTCTTCTAACCTGTGCCACCAAGCCTTTCCCCCCCAAATTGCCCCGTTGCCCTGTCTGAGAGCGGGCGGCGGGCCGTCACTGGCGGAGGAGTCGCCTTATTTTTTTGGGGCCTAACTTCCGTCGTTTTAAACCTCACGGGATAAACACGGTGGAGGCGTTTCGCATGTGTAGCAGAGAAGTGTAGGTTGCCGTGTTACCTCTCAGCGGTTCAAACGGATACTTAAATGTGTGCTTGAGCTGGAGCTGGGAAACTTGTTTTTTTATTGTGTGTGTTTTTTTTTTTTTACACCGTCGTGTGTGGATCTCACCCTGAAATAAGCAGACGTCAGACCTCGCCCGCCCGCCGCAACATTTTTTTTCCTCGCAACCTAATCGTTCTGAGGGTTTATACCGCAACAAGTTATGTCGTTAAAGTCAACGGTGTGGTGACGGTAGCCGTTAGACGTTTATCGGCTTTTTAATTTTAAACGCCGTGCCTTGGCGGAAAGGAGAGGATTTCGTTTTATTTAAGGTAGCATGACGGGATCCAGAGCCGTCGAGCTAGCTGGCTAACATTAGCACGACGATTAGCTAGCTTTATGTTACGCGCAATGAATGGACTGCGCCTTTTAATGTCCGTCGCTTTGTTCTATGAGCAACCGTCGATGGCGCTATTCACAGCGATTAGATGTCAAAGTGGTTTTCTGTGGTGTTAAATACAGTCCGCGGTTGCTAACAAGTAAACCATATCCATACGGGCTGTGTCCAAACACAGCCTTGCTAGCATTGTGAAGCTAACTTGCTAACCATTAACGTTAGCTGTAGCGTTGATACCGGTATTAAACAGTCAGGAGCCGTCTTGTTCGTAGCCTATAAACATATAAACATTGTCCCGTATTACAACAATGTGCCGTTTGCTAAACCTATGACTTTGTCTAACGTAACTAGAAACATTTGAAGCGTAACTCTGTGGTTGTATTACAAATGCACTTTGTCCCGTGTGTTGCGTTGTAGCGACCGCCACCTATTTTCCCAGCACATTTCAATTACATTGCTCAGCTTATCATGTAAAGTCTGTCCGATTTGTCTCTCTTTTGCAAACGAATATCCTTCACTATATGTATGCACCCTAAATGCGTTGCAGACGTGTGCAGCTCTGGACTAAACCATTGTAAAAATGCTTCTCCCCAGGTCAATTGAGGATGAACGAGCAGGACAGCGGGGTGGTCTCCTTTGATGAGTATGTACGGCAAAAGGCCCGCACGGTTCCTCAGCACAGGATGAAGGAGTTCCTGGAGTCTCTGGCCAAGGGCTCCGAGGTGCTGCAGGAGTTCAGCCAGCAGGGAGGGGCTGCCACCACCACCACCACAGCAGCCATGGTGTACCAGCAGCAGGATGCCAACTGTGTGTACACCGACAGCACCGAAGTGGCCGGCTCCCTCTTAGAGCTGGCTGGTCCGGTAAGAGCCGGTCCCTCTTTACGTTTTATTGCTTTAGGATGGGAGTGTTTCTTTTCTTCACTGTGGGGCAATCTGCTGCACTTCTTATATGCACGTGCGTTATGACCGGCACAGGTGACCTCGGCCGAGATTTCGCCTCATCTGTCCGTGCATCAGGAGTCTGAACAGCAGCTTCAGGTGCAGGTTAGTTTATATGCCAATGTCATAATATAACACGTGACTATTGGGGTCCTGCAGGGTGTTTTTAGTCTTTCAGTGCAAGTTGAGTCATTGAAGTAGATACTTTTACCCACTGAATGTTTTTCAAACAATGAGGAAGGATTTGTAATTTAATATGGAGACAAAAATGTCAGATTCTTGTTTTCAGTTTTTCATTATTCTCTGAGAATGTAGCTGCCCTTCTACTACTGTATTTCATTTTACGTGTCTTTAGGTAACTTTAATGTACTGCTTCACATTAAAGAGGGATAAGTCACCTTTTCACTACAGCTGCACTTTTTACTGTCCTTACATTTTTATGTCTGACAAGCCAATCATGTTAAATTCCCCAATAAACAATTGATCTTTTCTCGTGTCTTTTGGTTGACTCCGTTAAAGCACTGATGTGGAGGCTGTTTAAGCTGCTGATTATTGGAGCTTCTTTAGTAGTGCAGCTTCACATCGTCTAAATTCCCGTTTGTTTTTTTCTTCAGTCTATCAGCGCGAAAGCCATTTATTGATTTGACTGCGGACTGGCCTGATGATTCTTCCAATTCTCCCTGTGTGCCAGGTTCAGATTCAGGAACAGCAAGGCCAATCGGTTGGCCAGGTTCTTCAGGTGGCCTCCCCCTCTCAGCAAGACCTGCAGGGAATCTCAACAGCTCACTTTGTCCAGCAGGGAGAGCTCACAGAGGAGCAACAGCAGCAGGTAGAGGATGTGTTTAAAAGGTCACCGTTGTCAAGTGCATGCATGCGATGTTGCCTTGTGACTTTTTCAACTGTGTTCTACAGATTCAGGCGCAGCTGGTTGCAGCTGTAGCTGGGGGACAACAAATCCAGCTGTCAAGTGGACAACAGATCCAGCATATTCAGCTGCCTGGCGGCCAGCAAATTCAGCTCGAGGCAGGCCAACATATTCAACTACAGGGAGGGCAACAGATTCAACTACATGATGGCCAACAGATTCAGCTCCAGGGTGGCCAACAGATTCAGCTCCAGGGTGGCCAACAGATTCAGCTCCAGGGCGGCCAGCATATTCAGCTCCAGGGCGGCCAGCAAATTCAGCTCCAGGGCGGCCAGCAAATTCAGCTCCAAGGCGGTCAGCAAATTCAGCTCCAGGGCGGCCAGCAAATTCAGCTCCAGGGCGGCCAGCACATTCAACTCCCAAGTGGCCAGCAGATTCAGCTGCACGGTGGCCAACAAATTCAACTGCAAGATGGCCAACAGATCCAGATTCAGACCATCGAGGCCATGTCTCATTCGCAGCAACAGGACTCTCCCAGGGAGGCAGAGAGGAGGTCCGCCACTGTCTCAACGGTTCTCCAACCTGCCAAGAAGCGTAAAGTGGATGTCCCTCTTGCTGTGTCCTACGCTGTGCCACAGGGCCAACAGGTGGCCACAGTTCTAACCATCCCTCAAGGGCAGCAGCAGAGCTACGTGTCCCTACGACCAGATCTGCTCACTGTTGACAGCGCACAACTGTACAGCACAACAGGAACAATCACCAGTCCCACAGGCGAGACCTGGACCATCCCTGTGTACTCCACACCACAGCAGCAGGGGGTCACTCACATTGCAATACCACAGGACACGTACAACACAATGCAAGCCACCACCACCAACGGTAAGGACAAAATGTCCCCCAATTCGTCATCGAGGTCCACAGATGTGCAGTCGGTCTCCACCGGGTCACAGGAAGAAATTGTACAAACCCTGTTCCCAGCTCAGTTCATGAACGGCAACATTCACATCCCTGTGGCCGTGCAGACGGTAGGCGGGACTTACAACACTACACAGTCGGTACACATATGGGACCCAAATCAACAGCAGAGCCAAGGAGAAGATGGACAAGAGCAGCAGCTCCATCTGCAGGTTTGAATGGACCTTTTTCATTAACTGATATGTCCTGTGCTGTGTAACCCTGTTTTCCCAAAGCTCAATGCGTAACATAAAAAAGGAATCCCAATACATTTGTTTTGTGCTTTGGCCATCATGAAAAAAACATGGTCGTCAGGAACTACTTCAATATCTCAAAGCCAACCGTTGTGATGTCCACTTCAAGATGCGTTTCATACTTGCAGCACTTTTTACCCCACGAGTCATTGACTGACACTTGTTTCCTGCAGGGCCACATGGAGACGGAGGGTAACGAACCACCTACAGAGATCATGGTTCCTATCTGCCTAAAGCCAGAGGAAGGCCTGGAGGTCTGGCGTCTTTGGGTGAAGCGAAAAAACGCAGAGCTAAACAAGCAGGAAAAGACCAAGCTTGCACCCATAGGACGTAAGTTAACTAACATTTATTCAAACACGTCCCTATTTCCCGGTTTTTCACTCGACACCAATTTGCAATTTCCTATGGAGATACTTCGTTTTGTTTTGACTCCCAATGTATTCTGTTGCTATTGTTCTTAGCAACTTTTATTGCCGTTATTCGTTAATGGCGCTGACCACAACGTTGCCTCATCTGTCTATCAGGTCGTCAGCCGCTGCGTTATCAAGAAGACTTGGTGTCCAGCGCGGTCGCCGAGCTGAACCTCGGCCTCTCCCTAATGACGCAGGAGGCACGAGGATCAGACGAAGAGCAATTCACAGCCGATGTTCTATATTACGTTTTTTTGTGTATACAAAAGGTTAGCAACCCAATGCTCAGCGACGTATGAGGCCAAAATGTCTCAATTCAAGATTTAACCAGCTATTTGTTTTTTTGTTTTCCTTGTCAGTATCTCTTTGAAAATGGCCGTGTGGATGACATTTTCTCCGATCCGTACTACACACGTTTCTGTGGGTGTTTACACAAAATCCTGGATGGTTGGAAACCCAGTGTCCATCCTTTAGGTAAGAGATGATCAACATTCATATTTTCATTGTCTAATGGAAAAAATTGCTCATTGTGTATGTGTGTGTGCGTTTCCACCTCAGGTTACGTCATCCCGAGTCACGTGACCGAGGAGATGCTGTGGGAGTGCAAACAGCTCGGTGCACATTCACCAGCCACATTGCTCACAACTCTAATGTATTTCAACACTAAGTGAGTGACCTCGGCACTAAACGGCCGGGGTGTTTTGTCTTTTCGTAGATACAGGTGTGTACTCGAGATGCAATGACTGTGTATGTGGTTCATCACAGGCATTTCCACCTGATGACAACCGAACAGCACATGAAAGCAGCTTTCTCAAAGGTCCTCAGGCACACGAAGAAGAACCCCGCCAACGCCAAGGACAAAGCAACCAGCATCCGCCTTCTGAAAGGACAAGGTCCAAACAGCGCAGGACAGAAAGGTGCTCAAAACAGTAAGCCACTTGTGTGGATGCGGCTCTGAGGCACGGCCTTTGACAACAGGGGTTGCTGCTTGCTCACCTGTCGCGTCCGTTTCAGGAACGGATGACATGTACGAGGAGCAGGCCGAGGATCCCGAGAATCCCCTTCGCTGCCCAATTAAACTTTATGACTTTTATCTCTTCAAATGGTGAGTCACTCAATCGCACACATACTTTTGTAACCGGAACATTCTTTATTGTAAAAAAAAAAAAAAAAGAAAACTCCCCTTTTCTTTTATTTAACCGTCCTTTTCCAGTCCTCAAAGCGTGAAGGGACGTAACGACGCATACTACATGACACCGGAGCCCGTCGTCGCACCCAACAGCCCGATGTGGTACTCGTCTCAGCCCCTCACGGCTCAGCAGGTGGAGCAGGTGCTGGCCCGCATCATTGTAGTCCGAGAGATCCAGGAGATCATCTGCGCCGGTCCGGATGCCATGAGCTAAATCGAGAGGACTCGTGGGAACTTGGTCTTTCGTTGCTGATTGTTGACTATGCAGTATCCATCCTGACTCTCTAAACCCCAATGACCATCATCTCAAATGAAAGGGATCAATCATTATTTCTTTCTGAGGAGTGCATCACAACAGCAAAGCTATTTTTTTTCCTTCTGTTTTCAGCTGATTGGTTGGACTGTCCTTTCTCTTGACTACCTTTGTAAGCCATTGCCTCTGTAACCTTTAAACGGGCAAGTAACTGAGACTTTAGTCTCACCCCTGCTGGACTATGATTGACCTCCCGCCCTCTGAGCTCTGCAGAGGTGGTAGTGTCCTGTAAATGCATCAAAACAATGTGAGGATATTTAACCTTTACTACTTAACCTCAGACCATTTACCAAATAGTCTCTTCGAAGTCCAACTACATGACATCTTAATGGACAATTACAGGGACCACCTCTCGCAACTTTATTTTCTATATTGACTGCATTTTGGATCATGTATTGATACGTTGAAAGCTGAAAAACTTGTGCCTGTTTTAAAAAAAAAAAAAATACTTGTGGATCATTGAGTGAGTTGATCCTCAGGTTTTCACATGGTCAAAGTGCTATATTGTAGTAATGCAGGAAATGGGAAACATTCTCAGGTCAAAGCTAGTGATTAGATCACCCTTTGACAGTTTTGCCAACTTATTCTTGTATGTATGTACATTAGGTCATTAAACAGGACATACAGATGGAAAACCCTTTGAGCGAATACAGCATTAATCTTTGTATCAACAGTCTGGACAATTCAAGAGTATTTAGCACCAGATGTGGAAATGCATCTCTGAACTTTGAAATAAGGATTAGTTTGGGGCCTTTTCAAGAATGAATTCAAACACAGTATCCAAACCGTAATGTCGCCTCCTACCAGGTGACGGATTTGGATCACGACGTTGGCAAATTGTGTTTTGGCGTTAACACAAAAGATGTTTAAAAAATGCCCTAAAAGAATATTCAAAAAAGTTTCAGAAATAAATAGGAAAAATAATGCGTAGCTGTTAATATACATTTTTCAAATAAATGTAGTTATATTGTTTTCTGAAATGTAGTTACAGAAAATGGGCAACAAGTTCCTCAAAACAGTCCTGTTAAGAACACAACCATGTTTACAGTAGCACAAACCTATTCATTGATCTGTGTTCTCAAAGTTTATAAGATTGATGCGTTTAACCTAAAACCACTCACCTCTTACAGGATTCTGCAGGAATCGCTGGATACTTCAAAGCATTGTTTCCAATTTCATTAAAATAAAACTTTTAAAAGGTTTTACACAACTCTTGATATACTGGATGTGTTTTTGAAAAAGCACTAAGGGGAAAATTACTAATTACTACTACTATGGAAGGACTATCAATGCATTCATTTACATTTAACCATAATACAATTTAAGCAACATTAGTGTTTTGCCAGTTGAACGCACAGCTATCTGGTCTGGTTTGTGGACCGTTTTGCAGCTTTGTGCTGCTTGAAGAAAATCCTGTGGGATCAGGTTTAACCGCTTCGTTTACATTAGAGATGCTTCAAATCGCAGCGTGGAACACGGCCACCATGTAAGGCCAGCTGGGTGGAAATTGTTAGTGAGAGCTCACCGGATGGCACGATGAAAAAAATGAATTCATTTTGGACTGTTTGTGGTTGCATTTAGAAGAAAACAAACCATTGCTGTGGTTTGCGTTGCATTAGGTAACAAGGAAATCCCTCAGCAGACATGTTAAAAATATGTAATTTGTTGTTTTAGAATTGATAATAATCATCTGCTATAAGTGGAAACGCACAATTTAAGAGCATAAAAAAGTCCTAAATTACTATATGCAAGAGTGTAGGATGAGTCTAAAACCATGAAATGAGTCAGCAAGTCTTCTGGTTCCCTCTTCTCACCACTCAATTTTTAGTGTAGCGGTGGCAGTGTTGAGGTCACGTGACCGTGGCGCCATTCGTTTATAGTTCAACATTTGCGTTATTCTTCTCCTGATAACATATAGGTTTCAAAAACCCTAAAAGTAGTGTTCATTTTGGAAGATTTGTCAAGGAATCAAAATGAAATCTTTGACACATCTGGAGAGCATAGATCTTTTTTTATCTTACCAAAAACAAGACAAAAGAACCAAAGAGCAATAGAGCAAACACATTTGTGAGTCTCTCCCCCCACCGGAGTGGTTATTTTTAGTCCTTTCCATCAGGAAGAGTTAGCTGCAGTTGATTCAGTGTCTGTAGGAAGTACTTCGGCAGGGCACAGGACACACGTATGTCCGCACCGCTGGGTCCTGACAGCATGAGATGTCGAGCGTGCACGTGGAGGGGAAGGTGCCGGATCTTGCTCTGTTCCAGTCCGAGCCTTGCCAGCACACGGTCTGGCAATTTCTGTGCACCAAAAAGAACCATTTAGTGATTTATTTATGCAAGACACTCATATTTAGTGACAGAATCAGACATCCTTTTTGTATGGGTTTGATCAAATACCCTCGCGCCCGCTATAATAACGTAATATCCACACTGTGTAGATGTAAGAGTTGCCTTCGTTACTTGTTCCATTCCATTGTAAACATATTTTACCTGGGGAGCAAGTTTGTTCGAGTGGGAATATTTGTGGTCACCCAGAATGGGGCACGTCAGAGCAAGTGCCATGTGAACCCTCATCTGGTGCTTCTCTCCTGTGGACATAAGAAAGCCGACATGTAGAGAGAAAAAAAAAAAAAACAGGCTTCTTAGCTGGAATTCACCAAAGTTAATTGGCACTTAATTCCGGGGGCAAAAACCACCCGTCTCACCGGTTAAAGGTTGGAGCTCCACGAGGCTGCAGCCACTGCTGCTGTCCAGGACTCTGTACTTAGTCGCTGCAGGATGTGCCTGCCGATGGGCTCGGACCTTGGTCACACCGTCGCCAGTATCATTCATTCTGTAAAGAGGGCTGAGAGCCATCTGAAAATAATAATAATAATAAGAAGAAGAACACTGAAAAGAAAGCAGCTCTTTGCATTTGTAGAGCTAAAACTGGTACTTTCTTTAAACCAATGAATACAGCCATTCATTATCATATTTTGAATGCATTTTCCTGTAAGATGATGTTGATGCATACAAAGTTACTACAGCAATAAAAACCACAGAAAAGAGGCACCTTGAAGTGAGGCCGAGGGCCTGTGACCTCCCTCTCTATGACGGGAATGTCAATCAGTCCTTCTGCTGGGACAGGGACACCGACTGTGATGACCCTGAGCCGAGATAAAGATTAAAAACCGCGTTAAGAATTGAACCACTTTTATTCTACACCCCCCCCATTACAACTGAATCTTACCAGTACTTCCTCTGCACTTGGTTATTCCTGTGAAGGTCCAGTATGTGCTCCACTACTTTTTCACTCCTGGCCAGCAGGAAAGCTCCTGTCGTTTCCTTCTCCAGCTTCAGACAAGGGAACAGCTGAGAATCAGACTTGATCTTCAACCCATCCATCATTTTGGAGAGAACGGGAAGCACAGAGGAGATGGATGTGGCCCCACTGTCATCTGAGGAGAACAACAGCCACACATGTGTATGTATTCAGGTTCTTCAGCTTTAGCATGATTTGACAATTCTACCAATATTATTTAAGTGGAATCTATTCCAGTACTGATGGTAGAGTAAATAGATGCTTAAAATCATCATTATGGGTATTACAATATTTCACATTTGCAGATACGTGAAATAATGTATGTCTGCAAGATTTGCTTACACTATCCATTAATCTGCAGAATAATATTTTGGTCCATGTCAAAAAACAGAGCCAAAAGGTGACAAACCAAGAGTCGAAATAGGAGCAAACAACAAACCAGACAGCCAATTTGCTTTAATGATGACAAAAAAAATGAATGGATGAACATTTCGACAAATGGTTAATCGACTAACCAAATCCATCACCGTGCGTAACAGTCTGTAAACCGCCCCCCTGTTTACCTCTGACAGGAACACCGAGAGGTTTGTTGATGACCACCACGTCTTTGTCGTGGTACAGGACGCCTCTGTGCAGGTGCTTGGCCAGCACGTTGGGGTGGACGCCCTGCAGCTGCAGACTCAGCCGCTTCAGCTCCGTCACCCTCTTCTGCTGGCGCGACGGCGGCGGCTCCGCCGCGGCCGCAGGCGGCGCCTTCTGCCGCTGGACTTTCTGCGCCAGGTCGACGGCCCTCAGCCGGGGTTTGTCTCCGGCGTGGGAGCCCGCAGCCGGTTTAGCGGCGGTGGCATGTCCCCGGCCGAGGGGCGGCGCGGCCGCGGGGCACCTGCGGCAGTTTGTGGGCGGTTTGCCGGGAGAGAAGGCGACGGAGAGGCCGTGTTTAAAGTCGCTACGGGCTATTCTTCTACAGCTATTCATTAGGAGGCACAGACAGACTCTAGAGGACACATGCAGGTTCCGCGTTTCCGACTTCCGGTCCGCACCTTTCACAATCAAAGCAATAAAGGCGTACGCACTATTTTCTGTGCATCTGAAATAAGTACAGAGTAGAGAAATTGAATATTTTGATAGTGATTTTGGCAAATATTCCTTTGTTCAGTTAAATAAGTGCAGTTTTGGGATATAGGGTTGTATGTTTTTGTACACTAATCACACAAACTACTTAAATTGTTCAGTCAAGCCGATCAAAAACACAAAATAAGTGGTTCACAAGTGGGTTTCATTTTGTTTTTTACTACTGACCTCCGAGACCAATTCTAAAAACAGATGTTGTAAATTGCAATGTCACAATGCATGCAGCAAGCATTTCCTGTTGTTATGTGTCGTATTTCCTTTTACTTGCATGAGGTGTGCTTGTTTCCTTTCCCGCTACCGGCCGATTCCGTGAACCCACTGAATGTAATGCAGTTTAAGAACCCCGCCTCCCTGGCAGACAAAAACATTCAAAACAAGCGCGTAGTTGTCCCATCGAGTTGCTCGATGGTTGCACATTATAACCCATTGGTAACGTTTGGTTTTATTTTTGTTTTTTCTTTAAATGCAATATTGTATTTTGCCCCAAAGGCTCCTAAATGACGCTCACAAGTTGCTCGTAAGAAATGGCCACCGGGCTCCATTGAATCGGAAGGAGCCGATGGAGCGCACGGTTTTGCTGTAGGCTACTTTGTATGAAACGCTGCAGACATGAGGATCACAGACAGCGTGCTGAGAAGTTTCAGGGTTGCCCGGACGTATCGAGAAAATTCACAGAAAGTCAACTGTGTGGACTTCAGCCCGGATGGTGAAAATGCAGTAGCAAGTAGCGACGACGATTGCATTGTGTTATATAATATCCGAGAAGGAAAGTAAGTGACCGATATTATCAGTACATTCAATCAGCAAACTAGCTCATGTATTTCTGCACGAAAATAACGAGACATTCCCATATATGCATTGGTTAAATTGGTCCACGTGGATGTGTCAATGCGGTTGATCAGGTGATCAAATGATTAACGGGATTAAATATCTTATATCTGTCTTTTCTCAGACCTGAAAGGACCCTTTTCAGCAAGAAGTATGGAGTAGACCTCATCCACTACACACATGGAGATGCACAGACTGTAGTCTACAGCTCCAACAAACTAGATGGTACTGACTCAGACAGACTGTCAGACAAACGTTATAAACTACAATAATACAAATGTAAGTGCTCTGAAATGGTTTGGAAAAGTAATATGAAGATTTTGTGTCTCGTAGATACCATCCGATATATGTCACTCACTGACAACAAGTACATCAGGTATTTCCCAGGTCACACTGCAAGGTGAGTAAAAGATATGTGGCATATGTAAATATCTAAACGGATCTGTTTGGCGTTCCCCCTTTCAAGACTGTGTGCGTGCAAAACAACATTTAACAAACCAGTAGACTACTTCCACTTTAGAAAAAAATGATGCATCCTAAGTATGCACACTAAATTGAAAAGTACTATCTATGTATTTGCTCACTATTTCCATAGTTGAAACAGATGACTAAATTCCTTGTTCTGTTCAATCAACATTCTAAATCTCAAGATATTTGTTTTAGAAGAAGAAGACCGTTTCCTTTATTGATTCCACCCCATGGGGACATTATTCTCTGCAGTGAACCCATCGCACACAGTGGGAGCGGTGTGTTAGGGGTTAGGTGTCTCGCTCAGGGACACTTTGACGCGGGACAGCCGGGCTTCAAACCTCCAGCCTTGCCATTTCTTTACAAAGAAATACAGCAAATCAACACATTTGTGAAGCCTTTTGTGCTAAAATGTACTTAATTGATTATTGATGGATTATTTTAATATTGTATTATTCATTTTATGTTAATTCATAATTTGTTTAATCATTGCAGCTCAGGTGCACACGCTGTGTTATTATGCCTCATCAGTTGTTTACTGGATTACATCTCAAACCAAGAAGCTGCACAGGCCGTTAACGCGTGATTACAGGAAGTACATTTTATACTCACGACATCCGTCAAGTTGTTATTTTAAATAGGCGCATAATAAATACACAAAGAAAGACGTGTTCTTGAAACACATCTCTGAACGGCAGAGACGCAGAATAATAGCATGTTTACCAATTTATTTTCTCCACAGCAGCTAGCTATCTGTTCCCTGCAGTCATCATTATGTTTCAATCGTTTTATCTTGTCTTTGTTTGGTTTCTGCAGAATGATGGTTTCTCACAGTTATTGTTAATGCTGGCGTCTTTTGCAATTTTAGAGTTATTGCTCTCTCAATGTCACCAGTGGATGATACGTTTATCTCGGGCTCGCTGGACGAAACAATCCGCATCTGGGATCTGCGTGCTCCCAACTGTCAAGTGAGTAGTTGGGCCGGCACATTACACCTCGCCTGCTCTCTGAGGACATTTACTCAAGTGTATAATTACAGCTCCTGCTGCACATTAAGTTATTGCACATCATTAGGTTTCCAGTCCCCCTTTTTAATTAGCATTTGTACTGTGACCTGTGGGTGTCACCTTCCTAAAGGAACCACTTGGATCTGCTACTAAAACACAATGCTTGAAGACATTATCCCCCAAAACAAAGACCAAACGGAAGGAGAGACGTTATTATAACAATCTATAGCTCATTAGTTGGGAAGGATGAAATATGTTAGTAACACGTTTGCAATATCTCCATCAAGATCCAGGCTTCATGTTGGTGCTTTCTTTGGATTTATGTGTTTCAGGGTTTGACTAATCCACTCGGGAAACCCGTGTGTTCCTTTGACCCCGATGGGCTGATATTTGCTGCAGGAGTGGAATCACAGGCCATTAAACTATACGACCTCCGTGCTTTCGACAAAGTAAGATTCAGATCCCTTTGTGTGCTGTGCTTTATTTTGTCATCCTGCGTTTCCTTTAATAAATGGGATCTCCCTGTGGAAAGGGTCCCTTTGCCTCCTTCGACATGAGGTTTAATCGTGTCTGCGACTGGACTGGACTCAAATTCAGTAATGACGGGAAACTGATTCTCATCTCCACCAATGGAGGGATGATTCGTGTCATGAACGCCTTCAATGGATCCGTGCTGCACACTTTTTCTGTAAGAGACGTAGATTAATTTCATCCCATTTCCAAATAAACCAACTGAATAACACCTGTTTGTATATTAGGTTGAATGTGTTCTGTCTTTGTGCATGTTAAGGGCTACAACAACAGCAAAGGCATCTCCCTGGAGGCTTGCTTCACTCCAGACTCTCAGTTTGTGATGATCGGTAAAGCTAAATAACTCACATTCATATTTTGGCCTCTACCTGTAAGATCTCTTTTTGCGCCAAATGTTAAAATGTGTCTCGCTGTCCAGGCTCAGAGGACGGGAGAGTCCATGTTTGGAGCACTGAGAGCGGGATGAAGGTTGCTGTGCTGGATGGGAAACACCCCGGACCCATCAACACGCTGCAGTTCAATCCCAGATACATGACGTTTGCCAGCGCCTGCAGCAACATGGTGAGATCGGACTCGTCACTCGTCACTGTCTCACGTGCAGCAGCAAACCGCTATGAACACAGGGCTCATTTGCATGTTGTTCTTCTGTTTTCTTTACAGACCTTTTGGCTGCCATGTATCGACGACACGTAGAGGGAGATTTCCAGCCGGATCTTTGTTGTTAAAAACGTCACAGCTACGCAGTGATGTAGCATTGTGTGTTGGACCGGTAACCAGGGCTTCATAAGAACCACAAGGCCAGAAAAGGGTTTTCCTTTTACTTTGAATGGCTTTTCCCTGTTGTATTTTTTACCTTTCAAAGGGGTTGATGCCATTCTGAGAACTTTTTATGCCATTCAGTACATTATACAGGTTAACTGTTTCTTGATATTTTAAATATTAAGTTTTAACTGTGTCCCTTGATATTTTATGTAATTTTAAGAATATTTCTAATAAAGTGTTTCAGTTGAAAATAAGAGCTATAAAAACTGTTTTTTTTCCTCTTTTGACATCATAGTTTTATTTGACTGTAGATAAATCTTGATTTACAGTTCAAGGATTCAAAAGATTATTTTCATTATAGGTTAATCTGACCTTGTAAATAATGTAATTGGAAGAATTTCAATCGGGAGAATTTAGAATCCCAATTTCCTAAATCTCAAAATCAGCTTTTTTGCTATTTGTTTGTTTTAAAAAGATGTAATCAAAGTTAGGTAAATCTTGCTTGAAAAAACAAACCATTCATTCATTGTCAAATACTTGATGAGGAATGTTCCCTGACGTCTTGGTTAATTGTTTTAACTTTTGTACCAAAATATGGGGTACAATTATTAGGAAAATTAGGAGTTTTCAAAATTAGTCCAATAAAAACAATATTTAATATCCTACAAGTTGCTCATCAAAACGTTAAAATTAATACAGTGCCTATTTTTTCTTTTTATATATTCCACTTATTGTCAAAACAGTGACACTGACATGAGCCGATTGAATAATTTCTTCAAACAGGTGTTTTTCCTTCAGTGCACATTACGTGTGTCCTCCTGAAGAAGAGGTTGGGGCTTCTTTTGAATAATGCATAGATGCTTGGGTTGTGCACTCACCGCTGAGTGAATAATGGATGATCCCATCACAGGTAACCTCACAGGTGCACACTCATCTTCCTCTCACCTCCCTCCATCGCGTGCGTGTGTGCACAAAAGATGTGAGAAATGAGAGAAATAGCCGGTGGTGGTTTGTGCATTCCCATTCTTACCACCTCTCATTTATTTTCTAACCTGGAAGTGTGTGTTCTGTGTGTGACCTGGATGAGTTTGTTTGTGTCCTCAGTAATGGATCCATTAGTACGGATTGTTCAGGAGCCAACTCTTCTGGTGTCCTCACAAGTCATCTCCAGCTCCACCTCACACTTTATATATTTATATACAAGTTTTCATATCTCTCCATGAGGAAAAACTCACAGTATATTTAAATAGCTTTCGCACGTCGCTTCAGCTGCAACCCCAATTCACAGCTTTTTTATGAACTATTCAAACTAACTTTGCCGATCAAAATGAACTGACCACAAATACATGAATCATGTGGCCGTCAGATTGTTGCATGCTGTCACATTTCGACCTGAATTTGAAATCCTGCCGTCAGCTGAATAAAATGTTGACGGCCTCTAAAAACACACTGACCACCGATGCCACGAGTAGAGTATTTCTACGAGGCCTCACACACGGTGCAGGATAGTATGTGACTTAGGAGACACTCCCCCACAGAGACTTTTCAAAGTTGTGGTCATGGATACTCAAACGAGTTTTAGATCAGTGGTTAGGGTGACATATCCACTGACAGGCACGTTATTACTCATCCGCCACAGTTCCGCAGATTGTGTTTCAAGTGCTAGGAATCTCCCGAGTCACCCACGAAGCGTTTATGTCACTGATGCGCACGGGTCCGTCCGTCTGCCATCAGGGGAGAGGCAGCCGATCTGTTGAGCGAGAGGAGCGAGGACGCAGAGAGCCGGAACCCGTCCTTCTGTCGTGAGCGGAGTGCGAAGCCGACGGCAACAACATGTCCCACCAAACTGGAATCAACGGTAGGTTAGGGAACCCTTTTTCATAGAATAGTTTTCGTTAAAGTGCTTTCATAATTTCCTTTTTAGCCTAAAAGTGTGCCGTTGCATCTATTGCATCCTACCAATCTCACCGGTTATGTTCTTTGTTATCCTCTTTTGACTTGATGAAGCTGTTTTACAGTAAATTGTGGAATAAAAAGGCAACACGTAGAACAGTGTAAGCCTACACAGTATACAGCTTATTCTCAGTTAAAATATCCCTCTTCTAATGTTGTGATACCAATAATCATGATTTGTAGCACCAGCAGGCATTTGTGGATAGTTTTAAGAGCTACGTCTCTGCGTGTGTTATGACATGTGGTAATTGGAGCGTTGGGGGACGGGCTGGCACAGGCTTACCTCTCTCACCTTTCTCACCTAATCTTACATCATTTATGAGGCCGACGCGTTTGGTAACCATGGTGAGAGAGAAGGAGGGAGTGCAATAAAAGGCTTACTGTACTTCTCAGGGCCAAACTTTCATTTGCGGGTTGGAAAATTGGGGACAAATGAATGAAATGTGTCAGTTGTGTTGTTATTTGCCTGAGTCGCTGTAGGTGATGGCGTGACTCTCTGACAGGAGATCAAATTTTCTCCCTGAAGTGGAGTCTCAGGTTCTTACTTACCCAACTGTCTCACCTGCTTTCACCCCCCCACCCTCAGTTTTGACTTGTCGTCTTATATCACTTTAGCAACATCGGAGCTGAAAGAGTTTCTGGCCCGGGCGAGGGGAGGTACCATCAGAATAATGAAGATTGTCATCAGAAATGGTAAACATGAGATGTTTCTAATCGATTTGACACAAGGAGGCTTTCGGGGGGATTTGACTGAATCCTGAGGTGCTGATACGCGTTGTTTGTCTGCAGAAGAGTTGGTGTCAGATTCATACAGAGAGCCGGCACAGAGCTGGGACAAGGATTACGATCAGTTCCTACTTCCTCTGCTCACGCCTCAGGAGCCGTGCTACATCCTCTACCGTCTGGACTCCCAGAATGCACAGGGATACGAGTGGATCTTCATCGCCTGGTCACCTGACCAATCACCAGTATGTCTGAGGCGTCTGATTGATCACTGATCATATTGAGTCACTTGAAGTCTGCTGATAAAAGATGATCCTGACTGAGACAAAACTTAAACTGGACTAAATTAAACTTACTTATAATAATAATAATAATAATAAAATCCTTAAACGTGGGTAACATCTAAAGAGTATTTCGCATTCAATTCAGGTGAGGCAGAAGATGGTGTACGCGGCGACCCGAGCCACGCTGAAGAAAGAGTTTGGAGGGGGTCACATAAGAGATGAAATGTTTGGCACAGTGGAGGTGAGTAAAACCCCTCTGGCCTGACGACTGATCATTGAATCTCTAGCCGCCGGCGATTAAGCACCAGCCTTTGTGTGGCTGTTTGCAGGATGACCTTTGTTTCCAGGGATACTTACGACACATGGCCTCCTGCTGCTGCCCCGCTCCGCTCACAGCAGCCGAGCAGGAATTACAACGAATAAAAGTCACAGAGGTAAAACTTAAACAAGTTAGCTCACTCATACAACTCAACTAGAGTAAAATGACACAATGTCAAAAACATGTTAATAGGCTTATATGGAGTAAATTTAGAGCATTGGACGTTGGGGGACTGATGCACACTGAAAAAAGAATTCATATTTGTGGCTTGAATGCTATTGAAACAAACTGAATATGCTATAAGAGATAAGTAAATGCTTACATTATGTCTTCTCATTCTGTACACTTCCACTTTCTTTCTGCAGGATAAAGCTATGTGGGTATGTAGAATTTCTTTCTAGTACAAATTCAACTGCGTGTGCAAGAAGAAGACAGTTCAAATATTCTACATCCACAGGATGAACGGAGACGGATTGGGACTCCAACAGCTCGAGCGAGGGTTTGTCACAGTCTGTTTGAGTCACTGCGTTTGCATTATCGGTGCGGGGACAAATCAAACCGGGTCTCATGTTTTGTTTTGTTTGCTTATCGCGCAGGTTACGATGGAGTTTGGCTTGGACAAAAGGCCACATACTCTTCAAGGTCTTGCATTCCCCTTACAAGAAGAGACCAAACAAGCTCTGCAGCAGCTCAAGAAGAGACGCATCAACTACATACAGCTGGTGAGCCCTGAGATGAAACATTTAGACTGATAATAGACCGTGCGGCAGTCTGTGTATCTGCAGTGGAATGAGATTAAATCGGCCGTGCTTGACCTGACCCTTGAGCAGCGCATGTTTTCTGTACGTGGCCTTGCAGAGGTTGGACGTAGAGAAAGAGACCATTGAGCTCGTTCACACCAAGCCTACGGAGACCCATGAGCTCCCCTACCGGATCCCCCCGGATTGCCCCAGATACCACTTCTTCATCTTCAAACATTCCCACCAAGGGCAGCGGCAGGAGGCGCTGGGTGGGTACAGTCGCCACCCCCAGGTGTGGGCAGGGGGGGGGGGGGGGGGGTAATGCAGCGAGGCAAAGCATCATGGTCTCTGCTCATCAAGTGTCGTTTAGAGTGATTTTTATTTATCGTTCGTTTTTTGTTTTTAATATAAGGGTGAAGGGGGCTCCATATGAAAACACAGGATTGCAAAATATGTTTTCCATGTAATGTATGTATTATGTAAGTGGGATTTTGAGTGTCTGATACATACTTTTCATAGCCCAAATCACTTCAACAGCAGATGGTGATAAGTATATCTGATAAAGTGAACTTGAACACATCAGCTGATCAAGTGACGCCGTTCTGTTTCTTCCAGTGTTCATATATTCAATGCCTGGATACACTTGCAGCATCAAGGAACGGATGCTATACTCCAGCTGTAAGAACCGTCTGCTGGACGAGGTTGAGAGAGACTACCAGTTGGAGGTCACCAAGAAGGTAGAGCTCACCCAGATAACCTGCATATAAGATAACAACAATATATCGCAGAAGTTAAAGAATTAACAATGCCTCCATAATGTATCTGTAACCTGGTCATCTTATATAAGGAAGAGTCCTTTAATAGGTGTGGTGCTTTTGCTGTGTGTGTGTTTGTGTAGATGGAGATAGACAATGGCGACGGCCTGACGGAGGACTTCCTGTATGAAGAGGTGCACCCGATAGAACACACCTTAAAGCAGGCCTTTGCAAAACCCAGAGGACCGGGAGGAAAGAGAGGCAACAAACGCCTTATCAAGGGTGCAGGGGAGAACGGGGAAGAAAGTTAGACAGAACGCACACACGCACACACACATCCATTGCATCCAATGCTTTAGGCAAGCATCTATGAATTGACTTGTTATTTGACTTTTCCGCTTTTAGCAATTTCTTCCTTACTGCGATTAGATTTCACAATGACAACAGGAGATGAAAGAATACTCCAAAAATAGGATTTTTTAAAATAAAAGTGATTGTTAGGAATTCTCTTAAAAATACATCCTTTTATTAAGGATTAAGTTAAGAACACGTTTGGTAGTCTAAACAGGGTGGTGGCTGATATTACACTTGTTTTTTGAAAACACCATGAAGTTGTCTACAATGTGTATTATAGTCTAAAACACTATTGCTACCTTAAACCTATGAATCTTGAGGAAATGTGTAAAAATGTTGCACAATCTAAAATATTTCTATTTCATGTGATGTTTAAAACCCAAAGGGTCTTGGATGTGAATAAGTCCCTCTGTGAACATCAATATTCAATAAATACTTTTTAACAATTTGGATTCAGTCATTCACAGTCATGTGGAAATGGATTGTTACATTTCTGTTTTAGGGTGGACTGTCCCTTACATTGTCTCGTATGTCGGCAGGGTATATGCTTCACCGTGGATCAAAACGCTTTTGCCTTCTTCGGGCACCTGTGTGAGGTTTGCGGTTCTACATGGTCCTCCAATGAAGGATTTTCTTTGTTTTGTAGAGTATATGTCCTCCTTTCTGTCAGCCTCTGTGTATGGCGGGAAATCACTGTCAAAATTCGAGAGCGCATCCCTCCCCGCATACTTTCTATTCTTGAATCCAATTGAAGAGGTCTTCTCTGCCTGGTGCTGGAAGGTCTCTGAGCGTCATCCCCATAAACGCATCGCCCTGCAGGCAATGGAGGAGGCACGTGGGGATATTGACCAGGATGTAGACGAGATGTTGTGGCCAGACCCAGAGAGACGACACAATGTAGACAGATTTTTCTTCTCAGTGAAATTACTGGAAAAAAAACACTTGTGTTTGTTTTGATGTGTGTAAATAAACATCAATATTTGACGTTTGGATTCCTGTATGTTTACAGAACTATGACAGAAGTATGACCTCAAACTGAAAGGTTTTCTTATTTGTGTGTAGAGTTTTGCAAAAATAGCCAATAGTTACAAAAAACGTGCTTAAGCCATCAGAAAAAACAAGAGAAAACGGACAGTCTGGATCTGTTTGTCCAATTCTATGCCTCTAATTCACACATTTTGTCTTGTTTGTTTATCTCTTGTAGAACACAAAATGTAAAAGCAAAGATTTGCAACAAGGGTTATGTGAGGCACATTGTATTGTTTAATGGACTCTGCTGGCTCCCAATGATTTGGACCAATCATTTTACTTTGGATATTCGCACCAAATTAATGGCAATCCCAAAAAAATGAAAAAAATGATGGCAGTTGAGAGAAAGTCAGGGGATTTTACAAAATCAGGATTCAACAATTGTTGAGATATTTATTCTTTTATGTGTTTGCCTTCAACATCAAGATGAACAATGAACACAACAAGTATAGCATAGTATTTTATGCACTGTATGAATATATTCAGTAGATAGGCTCCATCAATACAAATACACTGTGCACACACACACATTTACTCTAAATGCTTATTTGCATATTCTAGAAGGCTTCACTGGGACTCCGGAGATCTGACCTCCGAATAGAACGTTTCACCATGTTCCATGTTCTAGCTTCCATGTTCCACCACAGTCTAAGAACACACTGTGTGGCAAATTCACTCAGTTAGTTTTAAGTTTGAGAGCAACACACACTGAGGTTTTCCTGTTAGAAATCCTTTAAACATCACAATGTCTAAAGGGTCGGAAACGGGGAAGATGATTACGCGTTCTATGGTCCCAAGAAGAGCTCGAAGTGAGTGAGGAATCCAGACAGAAGTCTGCATTTACTGCTGTCAATGGTTTATTGGACTTATGAGAAGGCTCTAATATGGAGTTGGTACCTTGAGCTGCACCTCTAATTCCTGTTGAGACCTGTTTCTTACGGTTTCTTTGAGTCTGAACCCTGAAATTATAAAAAATGACTGACTCTTGCAGTTGGTGACTGTAGGTAAATGAATGTTTCATTTTGTTTTTGTAGTCTGTAGATCGCAATGCAAGCTTATCGGACCAAAGTCCATCGTTAGAAAAGCAGATGCCGAAGAGGAGGATGAGCAGAAACGCCAATCTGACAACAAAGACACTCATCAAAGTGTCCTGGCTTTCAAAAGCTAAAAGTGAAAGAGCCACAGGCGTGCAAACAAGTCAGTGTCCAACTCAGCAGTCACTGGTAAGCCGATTGTGTGAAACTGCTGCTGGAGATGCATCCCATCATCAGTTAGGGACATTTCTCCCATATAGAGCCGGTGTCCTTTTTGGGAGGATCAAAGATCAATGATCGATTTTGTAATCGTATCGTCTGATCTGAGGCCGCATGTGTTCAAAACCTCCATTGCTGAAGCCGCGGCAGTGAGTTGTGGCCTCAAGGTCTTAGGTGCATCAAGGGGCGGTCCCCCTCGAACCCCGTGGTGGACACCGGTGGTCAGGGAAGCCGTCCGACTGAAGGAGGTCTTCCGGATTAAGATATCCGGTGGGACTCCTGAGGCAGTTGCAGTGTACCGTCAGGCTCGAAGGGCAGCAGCCTCTGCCGTGATGGAGGCAATGAGCGTGTATGGGAGGAGTTCGGGGTAACTTTGGAGAAGGACTTTTGGTCGGCACCAAAGTGCTTCTGGAAGACCATCCGGCACCTCAGGAGGGGGAAGGAACATTTTGTGGAACTCCTGAATCCAACTACTACGCCCTCTTTGGTAGAGGCGGAGCTGGAGGCGGAGGAGGGATCATCGTCAATTTGCCTGGTGGAGGTCACTGAGGTAGTCAAACATCTCCGCAGTGGCAAAGCCCCGGGGATTGATGAGATCCGTCCAGAGATGCTAAAAGCAATGGGTGTTGGGGGGTTGTCTTGGATGACACGCCTCTTCAACATTGCATGGAAGTCTGGGACAGTGCCAAAAGAGTGACAGACCGGGGTGGTGGTACCCCTCTTCAAAAAGGGGAGCCAGAGAGTGTGTGCCAATTACAGGGGTATCACACTACTCAGCCTCCTGGGTAAAGTCTACTCCAAGGTGCTGGAAAGGAGGGTTCGGCTGATAGTCGAACCAAGGATTGAAGAGGAACAATGCGGTTTTCGTCCTGTTCGTGGAACAACGGACCAGCTCTTTACTCTTTCCAGGATCATAGAGGGGGCTTGGGAGTATGCTCATCCAGTCTACATGTGTTTTGTGGACTTGGAGAAGGCGCATGACCAGGTCCCCCAAGAGAAACTGTGGGAGGTGCTGCGGGAGTACGGGGTGAGGGGGTCCTTGCTTGGGGCCATCCAATCCTTGTACGCCCAAAGCGAGAGCTGTGTTCGGGTGCTCGGCAGTAAGTCGAGGGCGTTTCCGGTGGGGGTTGGCCTACGCCAGGGCTGCGCCTTGTCACCAATCTTGTTTGTGGTTTTCTTGGACAAGATATCGAGGCGTAGTCGGGGGGAGGAGGACAGTTTGCGGGGCTGCGGATCTCATCGCTGCTTTTGCAGATGATGTCGTCCTGATGGCAACTTCTGTCTGTGACCTCCAACTCTGACTGGAGCGTTTCGCAGTCGAGTGTGAAGCGGTCGGGATGAGGATTAGCACCTCTAAATCTGAGGGACCCAAAGGGGCAAAGTCAACCAGATCTTCTGGGGCTGGCACTTGCGATGCCGTTTGTTCTGCAGCAGGTTGAACTGTACCTCCATTATGATCCACAATGATCAAGACAGTTTTCTCATGATTCAGGTCCTCTTCAGCGAGGTCAGCAGGAACAAATAAAGCATGTTCCTCTGCAGCGGTTTCCCATTGACCGGCCTCTTCTCTCTCAAGTTTTGCAGGAACCGGAACAAAATAATTCTCTTCCTTCGGCATCATGGGAAGAGCAGCAGTTTCTTCTGGGAATATAAGTAAAGGTTCTTCTGGAGCTTTGTCCTCTGAAGCCCCACGGGAATAACAGGGATTGATGCTGCTGAAAGTCCTTTGGAGTCCTCTGGAGATGCATCCTCCACAGAAACAGCAGTTTCTTCTGTCGCATTGTCCTCTGGAATGATTACGACTAGTGATTCTGGAGCTGTATTCTCCACAAAATGTTCACTCTCAAAAGCAACAGCTGGGGCGATGTTGTCCGTAGCTTCCTCTGGAGATGACTCCACGAAGGCAGTTTCTTCAGACACAGTTTCATCCTCTGAAGATTCATGGTGGGCTCCAGCCGAAGGCTCCTGGGAAGCTAATTCACCTGCTTCAAGGAAATCATCATCAGAGACGTGATCTTCACTGGAAATTGGTTCTGGTTCTTTGGCAATAAACATGTTTTCCTCATCAGGAGACGGCGCTGCTTGACCCGGAACAGCTGTAAGGACTTTCTCATCGTCTGCTTCTTTTTCCTCCATAAGGTTACTGAGGTCTTCAGTTACTGGTGCAGGTTCCTCTGGTCTTGCTCCACGTACTTGAACAACTTTGGCAACTGCAATGGAGGTTAGACCCAATGAAGTTAACTTTTGTTAACTTAAATAGATAAAGTTTGGACACTTGCTGTATTCCAAAAAGGCCTCTACCTGTTATCCATAAAGTCAACTCTGAACAATGATTGTTTCACTTCATCTGCAGTGACCTGAAACAAACGCGGTGTTTTTGAACATCCAAAAATAGGGCTTTTACTTTGAAGAAATCTCCAAATCTGTACAGTAAAAATACTTGATATTTATCATCATAGTAGTCAGAGAGGTCCTTAACACAGGTACATTGGTCTTTGCCCGGAACTATTGAGAAATTAATTTTCATTGCAGTCCAAACATGGAGAAACCTCTTTTATGCAATTATAGGGTTTTTACTTTGGTGAAATATCCAAATCTGTACAGTAAAATGATTTCATATTCAGCATGCTAGTAGTCAGAGAGGTCCTTAACATGAGTACACTGGTCCTTGCCAGGAATTATTGAGAATTATGTTTTTATTGCATTTCAAATATGGAGATATGGCCTTTTTGAACGTGCAATTATAGGGCTTGAAGAAATCTCCAACTCTGTACAATAAAAATTATTTCACTTTTCTCACAATGAGTGACATGACTGGATAAGGAAGATACACAACGTGTCTCAAAAGTAAGAATTTCAGTGAGTCTTAAAGACCTTTGGTATTACAAAGACCGCCTTAATGATTGAGGCACGGGCCCCTCGCTCAGCCTCTGTCCATCAGCGCAACGCACTGCTTTGGCTGCATTCCTAAAAGTTTTGAGAAGTTGAGAAGTCTCAGATCACTGATTTACTTAAGCTGCACTGACATCAGGTAATCTAAACCCTTGAAGAGTTTGTGGTAAAGTGTGTGTCTGTGTGCGCGTGTCGGGCTATTTCTACTTGTTACCTGCTTGTGAAGCTCTCTGAGACAAACTCCTGATTTTGGGTTCTACGAAATGATTTCCTCCCAAATATTTCTTCTGATCAATTATTTTTAAACAACGCTGGTGTATTTTAATGCTTTACAGGGCAAAATGGTCTTTCTTTTAAGTCTTACAAAGCCATTTGTAACAGCCATAAAATCATGCAAAAATAACTTTCTATTACAAATACAGTTTGACGGATCGGTTGCTGTTGTGGCAATTCACCTTGGGGATGACTTTATGTCTTTAAATGTTGGGATATTGGATCATCAAGTCTGGATCCAAGCCGAATATTGCAGCTCATTGTGAAAGTCCTGTGGTGTCATTCGAGAATATTTGTTAAACTCAGTGACCTCCTTCTCCTTAATGGGGTGAGAGGGTGAACTACCTTTGTTTAGACAGCAGATGGCGCTGTATACGTGGGGAAATGTTGTACAAGAGGACAGGACCTCCTGTCCCCTGGGACTCAATCACTTACTGATTACCACTTACCGCTACTTCTTATTGTTCCTTCCTTTGCGTTTTTTAGTACAGCACAAATACATTCTGCATGGGAAGGACATGTGAGAAAGAGCATATGTGTGTGTGTGTGTGTGTGCAGGTCTGTAAGTGTTCCAGGTGTCTTATTTCGCAGGTCAAGTGCAGACTGAAATAGCATAATTGAAATAAACGTTGATTTTGCAGACAGTGTTCACACAATAGCGGGTTTTTTGGGGGGGTTGTTTTAATGCTTTAGAAAAGAAACAGGGGCTAAATTTCACCCTGACATTTATTAAGCATCAGTCTTCAAGCACTTTATTTTTACACAGAATTCTGCTACACAATCAGTCCTTTGTCTTTAATTATGAACGGATTCTCTGGGCTGAAAAGCAGATTCCCAGATAACCCAAATTCGGACTGAATTATAGTCCTTTCATTGACATACTCAACCGCCATGAAGTGTCACGTAGGGGCTGCATCATTGGAGCCAACCGGAGGTCATCGGCTGGTCGCTGACACTGTGACAAAAACAGGAACACGCCTTTCTTCATTGGCGGAACCTTTCGGTTGTGGTAACTGTTGTTCACCAGACTGCCCGGTTGCCTGTTTTGCACGTCACTGCATCTACAGGAAGTTTCAAACCAAATCGGACCAGACACTGTCGGCCTGTCAAGTGAATATTTAGCCATCGGCGCTCACGAAGAACTATTTCCGTAGCCTGTAGATTTCGCTGCATCGGTTCAGGGTTAAAAATCAAGTCAGGTTTAGGTTGGAGTTAGTCTCAGGCCCTCAAACCAACGCAGTCTATAGAGATTCAGCACGGATTAACAATCTGTCCTGTACCAACCAACATTTTAGTCAACTGGCACTCAAGAGTGGAGCGCCACGGTGGTGTGGCGGTTCGCAATGATGCCTCACAGCAAAAGGTTCTGGGCTCGAACCCGCCCAGCGGCTGTGTGGGGTCTGCGTGTTCTCCCCCGAGCCTGCGTGGGTTCCCTCCCACGCTCCAAGACAGCAGGATGGTTCTAAGTCCGCAGTGCAATTGAGTGATGACCGTTCCAGGATTTACCCCGTCTCTTGCCTGATGCCAGCTGGGATTGGCTCCAAAACTCCCCCGCAAAGTTGAAAAGCTGTGTAAAAGAAATGAGCTGGGTGGGTTTGTGTTGGTTCTCCTTGTAAAATGATCCCATAGCTAATACGCAATAAACCACAATTTACATTTTTCAATTTTTGCAGATTTAATTCTGATCTAAACATACAACATATTATTTTGTCATCTTTTATGTGAGATTGTAGGGAAAGTGTATACTTTTGACACAGGACTTTTTTTGGACTCTTATCCAGTGTTTGTGCTTAGCATTGTTTCTATTTTACCTCCCTTTAAAAGCCGAACAAACAATTAATTTAATAAATTAGGCTCTAAATGAAAATTCTGTTCAAATAAAAAGAGTTCCAACACTACACCCATAGCTACACGATGACTGGTAATCTGATCCCTCCTGTGTGTGTGTGTGTCCCGTAGGAGTGAGAGAGAGAGAGAGAGAGACCCACACACACACACACACACACACACATACTCAGAGAGTGGGTGGGAGAGAGAGGCGGGCCCCGCACACCAGACACAAGACCAGAAACTTTCCACGGCAAACACTCACCTGACCGCTTTGATTATGCGCCCCCGTGGAAGCGCCGAGACGACGCCCCCGTTGCCCGAGGTTCACGCGCCACCGGTTTCCCTTCCGCGCCGCGCGCATTCATACCAGTTCAGTCACTTTCCCAATTTCGCAGGGGTGTGTGTGTGTGTGTGTGTGTGTGTGTGTGTGTGTAGAGGGGGGGGGGGGGGGGGGTCATTGCTGCGTGTTTTGAGAATGTTAACGCACCGCAAATCAATTTAACACGTCACATAAACCGTCTGCTTTAAAAGAAACACGCGGCGTTACACAACCTGCCAGGGGAGTTCTGAATAGTTCTAACAAGCTTAAGAAAACATTGTTCGTGCGAAACAATGTTGACAAATAAAGTTTTCATTTGTCCATCCTTGTCAAATTGTCTTCTAATGATGGACCCTTTCTTCCCCAGTGGCATACAGGTGGGTGGTAATGGGGGTGGGGTGTGTGGGTGGGTGTGTGTGTGTGTGGGGGGGGTGTACAGGACTGACACCTGGCACACAGTCAGGTGTCCACAGTGTGAGTTTGAGTTTGCCATGCAAACACCAGGCAGAGGGTTCAACCATCAAAGTGGGCACAGCTACCCAGGTGAGTGGCAAACACTCACGTTTATAAGGGTTAATACAGCCGAGCCGTTCACACTAACTCGTAAACGTTCTTCTCCCGTGTCTTTATCCTCTGTGTCACGTGAGGGGTTTGGGACTGAGTGACAGTCGTGACTCAGCAGTAAAGTGGACACAAGCTGAGGGGCCAACACTGATTTCTCTCTGAGGTTTGCCATGTGGCTCCGTGGTGGCTGACGGCCTCGTGTTGTTTTATTATGATATGATAATGGGAAAGAGAGATAATCGGGATTGTTGTGTACAGGAGTCAGACTTATTGACAAACAGTGAGTCTGTCCACCACTAAAGAGAAAGCTCACAACTTCATTTGCAGGGATGGTACGTCTGATTGAAATATATATATGACCTTTTTATTTTGGCCATGCAGCTGAACAAGCAAATAGAAGTACAATATCCCACTATAATAAATTGTTTACAATAATGTGTAAAGTTTATTTTAACTTGTATTGGCAGTTGAATAATCGCTGCCTCCATGCCAGGTAAAAAGAGCTATAGTAGCTTTTGAAGATAGCTGCCAGATACATAAAGAACATGTTGATAGTAAATTATTTGATAAAACACGGTTAAAATGCTGCGTGATCCGTGTGAGACATGCTGTTATGTCTTACATGATAATACTAATAAAGTTGGTTGAAACAACAACGCTGTAAAAAATATAAATGAATCAATATATGTTAAATCAAGAAAAGATAAAAGTATCTAGTGTGTGTCCAGAAAAAAGAGAGAAAGTCGTGCTTTCTGAAAAAAAGTCACATGGTTTTACAGAGAGTCCCATAATGATTAAGTAACAAGGACATTACCCTTCAAACTGACCCTATGAACTATTACATGTTTTAAGTTTATCAAAGGTTAAAATGACACCGCTGATGTAACGTGACTATTTTAGAGGAACATGTGATCAATTTGTGGTTGAGAAATAATATTTTGGGGAAGTTATAAAAGGTCATTACTGTGATTGACAATGCTCATCCGGAATACTGTCACCATACAGCTTCAATATTCTAAAACAGCCACTGAGCGTGTGACATTGGGAATAACTGTTTGGTCTGCACTATATCTGCGGAATTTTAGGATCCTTCATGTAGCGACTGTAGAAAGTTGTGTCTAAGCTTTGCGTGAGTTCCTTTAACTGCCCGACTGAGGGTGTTGATAGTACCAGCCAGTAAAACTGTTGCTTATCAAGTTATATAATTCCTAAAGAGAGGTGTGTGTGTGTGTGTGACAGATGTGGACTTTGCTCTGTTGTAGTAAATGAAAGGAGTGTCTCGAGATACCGAGCCATGTTTATGTTGACCCTCACACGGCACGTAAATCCCTGCAGACGACACACCTCCGCCCGAAGCCTCGTCTGTTGGACGACATTCAGGATTCTAAAGACCGCTTCACTCTTTCGTCTTTAATTATTAATTGAATCGTTTTAATCTGTGTTCATTTAACATTCCGATATCAGTAGGTGTCAATCTGTGAAGCAGTTGTTTGCAGTGGCTTTATTAAATATATAAAACCTCAGTGAGAGCTAAAAGTTATGACTGCACGAAAGGAAGGAAGATGTTCAACTGCACGTTTGTGCCCGTATAAATAAACTGATAAAAGAAAGTTACTCTCAGGTTCAGCCCAGTTAACCACTTTTGCTTGGAACCACACCACCTACATCCTGGTCTGAGAAAGTATATCTCCACTTTTATTATTCTTTCTGTGAAGCTACCTTTTAATTCAATTTAATTAAATTACACTGAGAACATGTCGTCTTAGAAATTCTCTTCTTTTAACTGTGTAAATATTTTAAATACATTCAGTGTCCATGCAGCGTCATCTCAAAACATCTGCTCTATTTGTGAATATTTTTATCCTCCATCGGATGGCTTCTCTTCTTTCAGTACAATCTCTGTTTTTCAGTCTCTATCCACTGGTTTTATTGTAATTAATGGGGATCAGGATTAATCTTAGCAGCGGTATAATTTACATTCAAGTATTTCGAGGATGAAGTTGAACAAAGTGACTGAATCTTCACCACTTTGCTAAAGACGGTTGACTATGTTTCATGAGTTAAAAAACTGTAAAAACTATTTTCGAAATGAATCATTTGTAACTGTTACGCCTGTTGAGATTTGACTGGTGTCTTTTGAAAAGTCTCTTCTGGTCAAAGTCACAGCAAGTTTCACCTGTTTACACCATGTAAGTAAATGCAGTCTGATTTACATGCATGGAACACATTTTTGGTGTACGTTTCTTTTTTTAAATTGTTATCTATTTTTATAACATAATCTCCCTCCCACACTTAAAGTTGGTGCGTTTTTTTTAAACATATCACGTGTTTATTTTTTAAGTTACCCTCATACTAAAATAAAGTAAGATTTCCTTGGTTTATTAGAACAATACACTCAGAAACATCAGTCCAATGATTTCATATGAGATATAAAACGCTCGCAATGAGACAATTATCTGGTAATCGGCTGATTGAGTTATGCAGTAATTGTCTTTTCTTAAGACCCAAATCATTTAAACTGCTGCTGTGCTTCGCGTTGCTTCCTCTCAATTAATAGAATTGCCATAAAACGACAAAGCTGGAGCTTTGGAGGCAGTTATCGTTTGTGTAAAACGCCCACGCACACACAGACAAAAAGACCCACATCAACACACAAATATGCGCTCATACACAAATAAGAAGTCTTTTTTTTCTGTGCACTTCAACACAGATATTAGTCAACAGACAGTAGGGATATCTAGCAACCTTTGCCCTATTTCCCCTATAAAAAAGACGTGGGAGCAAACAGCAGCTCCTCTATTGGGAACTTAAGACTGACTCACTTTCTCTGTGGGCTCACTGGATGCTTCACCGTCAGACATCCCTAGTTCAGGTTTTGCTGCGGATGACAAAAGTCATCCGCCCCCTCAATTTAAAATTGGCAAATGATATTTAAATAGAATAGAAACGAGAAGAAAGACCGCTCAAAGCTTTCCTTCTTGTTTCATTCATTATTTTCACAGTTATTGGACAATTAAGTCAACTCTGACACTTATTTAGCTTATTTTAAACCTCCTCTCTGGCCTTCCTTTTCCACAGACAATTCTAAATCAGTTTCTTTTGTGCGCAGGTATGCGTATGCATTCTGTGAATGAGCCTCACGTCACGGCTTGTTTTGTTATTGTCCAGCCAAACAGCGGCGGTGGGCGGCGCACACTCCCGTCGTTTCCTCTCCACTTCGAGGAACAGGGTACGACCCTTCCCACGATGCACCTCTCCCTCCTCCGACCGCGCCGCCCTCCTCTCACTCCTCTGTGAACATGCGCACGACTTCCACGGCTGAGATCGCACACAGAGTGATGTCTAACCTACGTGGCATCCTCACGAGACAACGGTGCATCCGTCATCCTCCTTTTCTCGACTTTGCTGCCTTGTCACAAATGGAAGGAGCACCACCGAACTACTGCACCTGTCTCCCTTATTCACATTTGTCTGTCACTGTGACGCCACAGCTCATGCGTGTATGTGTGTGTGTGTGTGTGTGTGTGTGTGTGTGTGTGTGTGAGGCCCTGACGGAATCCACTGCTCCTGCCCCTCGTCCACTGAGGAAGCTCTTGAGGCTCAAGAGACTCTTTAGTCATGAACTCATAACTGTTCAAGGGAATTGGGGGACAGTTCATGTCTTCAGATTATTGATAAAAACTACAGATTCCCCTCCAACACACACTCACACACACACACACATATACCAATATATAAGATTCTCTTTCTCGCTCTCTCTTTCCGTGCATGTACCTGCCCGTTTGTGTCGCACATATCCAAGTTTAAACATTAAACGTCCCAGCGTGCTGTTGTATCTGCCGAAACATGCAGCGTGACGTTTGTTTGTCCATACGGGATTTTTGCGCAAAAGCGTTTGATATGTTTCTTTACAAACCCCCAGAGTGGTGTTCATTGGAGGTCAGTCACCCTGTTGTCTGATAATGAAAGGCCCACCGCATATCCTACTCTCATTAGGATTCTGACAGCAATGTACAACACATCCTGAACATTAGTGTGTGTGTGTGTGTGTGTGTGTGTGTGTGTGTGTGTGTGTGTGTGTGTGTGTGTGTGTGAGACACTACCCCTGATTTATAACCCACTCCGTCAGGTCTTAGTGCAGAGCGAGAGCTCAGTTTAACAGCATTTGGGGTGATATGCTTATTTGAATATGAACATCACATCATTGAACACCATAATTGTTTTATCAAAAAAAGAAAATAATAAATAATAATTGTCCTGAGACTTTCGGCTCACCTAACACACGATTGGAATGTTGGAATGTTGGTCTGTTGCTGTTATCTCTGTATTAAGCTGTTCGGTAGTGTGTTTCTTTCACATTGGTGAAAACAGTGTGGGTTTGACCCCAACTTCAGTGCTTTAGTTCCACGTTTCCACTAGCTCACAAAAAAACATGATGTGGCCCCTCCGGGATAAACGGTAGATTTAGCAAGCAGCCAACAACCACAGCGAACATCGGGGTAACACATCAGACGGAGCAGTCACTTCATGTAATCTGTCACCTCATCGCATTTCTTTTAATGTCTTTTTAAAGAATCTATGTTTTCCATCTTCGAAAACGTGCAGTTCGACATTCATTCTGGTCGTCTCTGGATCGCTGGGGAGATTGAATTGTCCCAGCTCACACTCGGGGAATGAGATCAGTGAAAACACTTATCCCTGCCTGCGCAACCATGACCCCTTTTTTGCTTAAATTAACACAGTTGTGAATGAATGATTGGAGGTCACAGTCCAGCAGAGAGTTTCTGTCTCTGACTTGTTAAGTCTCCTCTTGTCGTTTACCTCATAGGTGTTGAAGTTGATTCTAGTTCAAAGTAGTTTTTGGGAATCCCGTTTGTTACATAAGTGTTGCTATTGTCACGTAATTTATGTTGACGTGGAAATAAAAGAAGAAATGTCCCATTTGCAAACCCCACGAGGACAAACCACTTCTGTCTTGT